GCGACCCGCCGCAGTCACCCCCAAAGCTCGCCCGTCTATTAGTTCCAAGACATCTATGCCCCCTCCGCCGCTCCCATCAACTATCAATCGCACCTCCCGCTCCTCGATATCAACACCCGCATCCAAGACAAGAAGACCGAGTTTGCACGCTACCGCATCTGCGCCCACGGGGCTGGCGAAACGCCATGCAGTGCGGCCAATGGGCCCCAGCAGAGCGTCGGAAGATGTGGAGGGTGAAACGAGTCCTTTGTCAGAGGATGCTGATGCTGAAACACTGGACGTTGAGGACGACGGAGATCAGGAGGATCCGGGTCTCAGGTCTACTAGGCCTAATCCGGGCGCCTCACGGACGGTGAGTGGCAGCCAAAAGCAGTCACAGCCTTCGTCACAGCGTCTTTCGACCGGTGGCGCTGTGTCGCGAGAACTTGATGAATTAAAAACCAAGCTTCGAGTGATGGAGAAGAAACGAGCCGACGATCGCGAAAAGCTCAAGAACCTGGAGCAATTGCAGTCGGATCGAGATAAGTTCGAGAGCATCATTCAGAAGCTGCAAGCAAAATACCAACCTCAGCAGCTTGAGATTGGCGAACTACGCAAGAAATTGAAGGAGTCGGAAGCTCGGCTGGAAGAAGTCGAGCGACTTCAAGCCGAACATGACTCAATATTGGAAATGGCTACGTTGGATCGTGAGATGGCGGAAGAAACGTCCGACATGTTCAAACATGAATGCGAGACACTACGCTTGAGGGTTGAAGAGCTGTCGCTGGAGGTCGAGGTCCTCCGAGAAGAAAACGAGGAGCTTGGACAGGCCATGACTCCCGAGGAGAAGTCAAGCCACGGATGGCTGCAGATGGAAAAGACGAACGAGCGTCTCCGCGAGGCTCTGATCCGTCTTCGCGACATGACTCAGCAGCAGGAGGCCGAGCTGAGAGACCAAGTCAAGGAGCTCCAGCAAGACCTTGAAGATTATACAGCTATCAAATCTCAGTATGAGTCGACGAAAGAGAAACTTCTTGTGTCCGAGAACAACGTTGAGCATCTGAAGCAGCAGCTTGAAACCGCACTGGGCGCCGAGGAGATGATTGAAGAACTGGCAGATAAAAACATGCGCTACCAGGAAGAGATCAACGACCTCAAGGCTGCAATCGAAGATTTGGAGGCATTGAAAGAGATCAACGATGAACTCGAATACAACCACATAGAAACAGAGAAACAGCTTCAGGAGGAAATCGATTACCGGGAGAGTCAGTACAATGAACAAAACCGGAGAATCACGCAACAGGAAGAAGTCATCGAAGACCTCGAATACACCTTGGTCCGTTTTCGAGAGCTGGTCTCTACCCTGCAAGGCGACTTGGAGGACATGCGCGCATCGCAGCAAATCTCCGAAGCGGAAGCTACTGATCTCACCACGCGCTCTCGTGCCATGATGGACCTCAACTTGAAGCTTCAGGCATCGGTTTCCAAGGCGCAAACCAAGACAATCGATATCGAACTGGGTCGTATGGAGGCGGAAGAAGCAACGCAGCACTTGTCGATTCTCAAATTGTATCTCCCAGAGTATTTTGACAGCGAGCGTAATGCTATCCTTGCGCTTCTCCGGTTCAAGCGTGTCAACTTCAAAGCCTCGTTGATGAATGACACCATCCGCGAAAAGGTTGCAGAGCAAGCCTCGGTGTCTACCGCAATTGAAGAGGTCTTTGTGGCGAGCGAAGTAATGGAGAGGTTACAATGGATTGCTGCTCTCTGTGATCGTTTCGTCAACTACATCAACACCTGTTCAGCCGAGAGTTTCGGCAGCATCGCAGGCGCCCTGTTCGAGCTCGAGCCCGTGGAACGCACGTTGAACTTTTGGATCGAAGGGTTGAAAAAGAACGAAGTTAACATGAAGAAGTGTGCAGTCGAGCTACAGCGGTCTATTTCCCTACTCGCCCATCTTGCTGAGACCCTTCTGCCAACGACCTTGGAAACATTTGCGGACGAACTTTGCATGCGCTCCATGCTAGCCCAGTCTTACATCGATCATAGCGCTTCTACCATCTCGCGGCTGAGGACCTTATTGCAGTCAAAGCTTGCGGCACCGGAAGGTGGCGATGAAGAAAACGCGTTCCTCTACAACAAAATGGAAGGGATTGTGACACAAGCCCGTGGGTTGAAAGTCGCCATGGGAAAGATTTATCGCTCTCTGGAAGAGCTCCGTTCCAGATCCCTTGCACTTTCACCCGATGTGGCCGGTCCATTCAAACAAGCCGAAGAAGCAGCCAAGGATCTCTCTGCTTTAACGCGACAACTCGGCGAGACGATTGTGATCATCATCATCGACGAAAGCCGAACTGAGCCTCTGAGTCTGGAGGAAGCACTGAAGACGATGTCCCAAATCTCCACACTCTATGCACAACCTTCCGAAACAGGCAGCGAAAGCAGCGACGCAACCTCTCTTATCTCCAACCGACTGCGCAGCCTGGGCGGGTTTCTCGAAGAGCTCGACTCAATCACATCCGATCTCTCTATCACGTCTGAGTTCGAAAAGCGACCCTCGCCTTGGACCATCCGCGCCGAGGAACTCAAATCCAACAAACAAAACTCCCCCGACGCGGACGAGGAGATCCGACGGCTCAAGAACGAAATCCACGAAGCCTCCACCGCCCTTGGCGTAAAGGACAAGACCATCGAGGAGCAAGCCATCAAAGTCGAACTGGTTGAGTCCCGGATGCGTGACGCCAGCAAAAAGGCCTCGATGGTCAAAGACCTGGAGGCGAAGATCGAAGAGCTCCAGTCGGCACACTCGGATCTGGAATCCACTCTGCACCAACAGCGCGCGGGCATCGAAGCCCTCGAGACCGAACGCGACGAGCTCAAGACCCGCCTGGATAAGGTCAAGCGCATCTCCGGCACGACAGGCGCCACGACGACCGCCGAAGGCGGCGTGGTCATTGACGCCGGCCTCTCGCTTGCTACGATGCGGGAGAACGAAGCCCTCCGCGCCGAGGTCGAGAGCCTGCAAGCCGCCGTACGTTACTTCCGCGAGGAACACCGCCGCGCCCACATCCTCGACCCGTACTCGATCCAACGCTCGGCGGACCTGCACTCCTGGCTCGACGTGCCCCTGACGCAGAGCCACGTCTCCTCCCCGCGTCGTGAGAAGATCCAACACACCGCCTCCGAAAGCCGCGACGTCTTCACCTATCTCCTCAAACTGACCCAGGAATCGCACATCTGCGACCTGAAGTCCACCGCTCCTCCGACCACCGGCACCACCTCCGACCCAACCAGCACCCCCACAACCACCCGTGTCACGTGGCGCCCCAGCAAGACCAAACTCCGCTACCACGTTCTCCAGCAGCGCGAGAACTTTGAGCAGTGGGCCGACTGGCGCGACGAGATCATCAGCCACGAACGCGAACAGGACCGCGTCGCCGCGGCCAAGAAGGAGCGCCTCGCGCGGCGACACCACGCTGCCACGAAAAGCTCGGTCTACGGCGCCGCGGCAGGGTTTTCCCAGGGACTGGGCCATGGCATGATGGGTCGCGCGTGGCAGATCCTAGGAGGCATAGAGCAGCACGATGGCGCGGGCGGTCGCAAAGCCGGTGGTGGGGAGAGAGGTACAGTGGTTGGTGGGCTAGACATGGGCGTGGGGTCTTCTTTCTAGGTGTCATCGTCGGTCAGCCCCTCGAGCTTTCGATCCCTAAGTTTCCCTTTCCCTGTTGGAAAGTTTCTACCTTCGCCTCGCGGACTAGACAGACATCTTGATCACGGTTGGGTCCCAATCTCATCCCAACCAGACCAGCAAGGGAAGGCGGGCGGGCGGGCGGCGTCACAGCTACGCGTGTCCGACGTCATATCTTGCAGGCCAAGTACAGCGACGAACACTCAACGCATGCGCAGGGACCTTTCCCATCGGGCTCCCTCGGCTCTTCCGGTCCCAGATCTCAGTCCCACTTAACTGGGTACGACAAGACCCCCAAGGGGCAATCAGTCACTGCGACTGCCCATCGCTTCTACGTACCACGCTCTATCACTATGTGCTGAAGCTCCCAGCAGATAAGAGAAAGCCTCACATCCACCCAACCGAGAGGCGATTCATGGTGTAAATGATACAATCCACCAAGCACCCCCAGCTGAATCTGTATCTTGCAACGTACAGTACATACCTACCATAATGAACATGACTGCGGCATACATCTAAACGTGCAATGCATCACACCTGATTCCATGTACTTATTCAGCATGTCTATACCCTGTAACATACATATATATGTGCATGGAAATGAAGAATCCTAGTTCTATTCTCAATGATACTGCCACAATATCCTGACTCGTGATACGGCCTATGAACTACACGGATTTCCACACTCAGAGTTTGTCAACCACCGAGACCACCAATGAATCAGTTCCATGTTCCAGACGTATCAAAGCGTTAACACTACCAGGTAACTCCTTACTACACAATCATTAAATATGAGACCCCAAAAATAGCATTCAAGTTTTTCGCCTCAATCTATGTACGCAATGATCGTCAATATGGAAAAGGGATATTAGTTATCCACCAACCCTCGAGACTCATCTAATATGGATGGAAATAGAGATAGAGGATTTGACACAAAAAGTAACAATGAAACAGCAGGAGAATAAAATCTTTGTCCGCTCAAATAATACATCCTTGAGGCGCAGGAAAGGAGGCAGGAATAAAATATGCCACACATGTGGTAATGTACAAACGCCAATGCCAAGAGATAAATGGAGCGAAACAGATCAATGGGAAATAACAACACAGTCGAGAAACCGGTGGGAACATTTTATTGGCAACTGTGTCAGAGATGTCAAGAGGTCGGATAGACATGAAGGTTCGGAATGGGGCCCAGGTGGGAAGGGGAGAAAGCGGCGGCGATGCATGACGATCAATAACAAGCAGTAATGATTATGGGAGGAAAATCTCGCCAAGACGGTAGCAAGGGCGTGTTTATCATGAAAGTTGAAGACTACAGCTATGCGATCTTCACCTAGAGGTGACCGGCGAGAATGGCCTCAGTAGCTGTGAAGAAGTTAGTAACCATAGATTTAACCCACAAAGGACCAAACAAGGCTTCTTACCTGAGTTGATGTAGGGACGCTTAGCATCCAACGCGACACCGAATCGTCGCTCAAGCTCCTGCTTGATGCTCTTCTTCGTAACCGTCATTAGATCCGCCGTGCGGAGGATGTCCCGGATTTCAGCCAGGATAGCATCATCGCTAGGCAGATGAGACAGGTCTTCCATCTCCAAGTCCATGTGACGGCTCATAATCTCCGATTGGGCCAAGGACATCCGAGAGGAGTAGCGAGGCATGCCGAATTGAGACATGGGCCGCGAGGGCGGGAACCCGTACTCAGATTGCATGGGGTGGTAGGACTTGGTGGCATAAGATATGCCAGAGACTTCGGAGCGATCGTCCCGGGAAGTTTGCGCCTCCCACAGTTCGGCCTGATACTCGTCCCACGTCTTCTTCGGAATGGACGCCGGATCGAACTTGCCCTCATCTGAGATGACGACCTTGCGACCTTTCTCTCCAGTGATAACACGGGTGTTACCCCAGGAGAAGTCATCCATGTGCCAGAAGGAGTACAAAGGCAGAGCCAGGGAAGAGATAGGGAGACCCAATAGGTAGATGAGCATCCATCCGAGCATTTCCCACTTGCGACGGAAGATGAAGATGAGTGCCTGGAGACCGTAGATGGCAGCAAGGAGAACAAAAGTGGTCCAGGGAATAGTCGAAGTATCGGTGACGAGGTAGTAGATCAAGTACGCGATATAAGCCAAGGTAACAGGCTGAATGACGGTACTGAGCAAGTCGACAAAGACAATGAAACGCATACTGAAACAGCAGAAACCACAGAGCTGCTGCAGAGGCACCAACTCCATCAAGTTATGGACAGTTGAGTTGATCCAACGACGACGCTGCGACAGGAACACAGCAAAGCTCTCAGGCGCGATAGTCCAGGCCTTGGCAGCGATGATGTACTTGGTCTTGAACTTGGGATGGAATTTCATCAAAAGTGTGGTAAGATAACGATCTTCACCAAGATGCAGCAGGTTCTTCATGTGGAGTGTATCAACGCGGATTTCGGAGTAGGCATCGATAACCTCTTTGCTGACGAACAGAGGCTTTCCACTCTCCGCAGAGCGAATGCGGTACATTGTGAAACAACCGGGCAGACAAGTGACTGATCCGAACAGACTCTCAAATGCCTTGATCATGTTGTGTGAGATGTAGTATTCGTAGACTTGCATCATGGTGATGGCCGAGTGTTTAGCGTTAGACAAAGCAGTTTCACCGCAAAGACCAATGATTTGAGTATCAGCCAACAGCGTAGAGACGAAGCGTGTTGCTGCATCCGGGGCGACAACGGTATCGGCATCGACCTGTAGAATAAATTCATAGAAGGTAGGATTTACACCGATGATGTTGCGGATCTGGTGATACATTTCCAGCTCCATCGGACTCATAGCCAAGTTGTAGTGTACGCGGTTCAAGAATCGCATGAGTACCATCTGAGAATCACGCTTTCCACGGTTACCAGGGCGAGCCACCTCGGAAGGCTTTCCAACCTTGACAACAACAAGGAAGGGGACAATGTGACCTTGAACCTCGTAGAGACCTGAATAGATCTTACCCATATTGTGTTGCTTCTGTCCTTCGCCCAGACTTTCGAAGCTGAGAGGCTCAGGATCGACGGATTCTGGGACTCCTAAAATATCCAGGACAATTCTTGGGGTAGGACGATCGTTGCCTTGCCCGATAATCATACCATCGCAAATGACAACAAGGAGTTTCCGCTTGTCATCATAACGCATGCGAGCCATGGAATCAATGGCACGGCGTAGAGAGTCTTCGTCTTCCGTGTAGGCTGGAACTTGACAGATGATGAACTTATCAAGATTCTCCGGGAGATTCTTCCTTGTAAACTGCAGGGCAGCAAGGAACTTGAAAACCACGACCGAAACAATGAAGATGGAGATTGCCAGAATGAAGTATCGTGCAAACAGACATTGAGCCGAGTTACGGGTATCGACATGACCCACGAAAAAGAGATTGTCCAAGCACAGCTGCATACGCTGGCGCATGACGTCGGTAATTTTCAGGTTCTCCCAATACTTCGTCAAATCCCGACCTGGAAGGTCCTGGAAGAGAGAGACGACCAAAGTACTCATAAAGTCGCGGTTGACGTCGGCAGGGACCGTCTTGCCCTCCGGGGCTTCCACTCTCCGACCTCCTGCAACATACGTCGTCAAATCATAGACCTTGCCGTTGATACTTCCAATGTACTGGGACTTTTCACCAAGGGTCTTGATGTACTCTGGTGTGTAACCGACCCAACCTTTAAAGTAATTTGATCTGAGTGAAATCATTTGCTCCTGGAACCAATCCGGCCGGTAGTCGTTGGTGAAATAGCGGAAGTCGTGGTACTGCATGTTGGTATCGGTGGAACTGACAGTGGTGGCAGAGCCTGAGACGTTGGTCGCTGAGTAGTCCAAAAGCACCGTAGGATCCACTTCTCCTGTCGTGCCGGGGCACAGAGCTGAGACCTGCACAGGGAACAGACCGGTGGCATCCGTGCCTGCGTATTTCTTGAGAGCTGATTCGGGCACGATATCGGGGTAGTGCGCGGGCATGAATTTGCCCAAATTGAAAACCACACCCCGAACTGCGACGAAAGAGCTGTGTCCATCTTTGCCGTTGTGCGAAGACAGCTCGGCAGACGAGTAAACATGCTGTGTGGGACAAATCAAGGAAGGAAAGACAACAATGAAGAATATGGCGACGAGACAGCAGAACCAGATGATCAGATTGATCGCAAGCTTTTCACGCCAGGCAATTCGCACATCCTTGCGCTTCATACGACCGAGGAGTTTGATGGTGAAGTCAGGGATGTACCACGTTAGCAGATAGACGAGGAACATCCACCTTTTGCGACTACCAGACACAGGTATGTCTTCGATCTCCTCCATGTTTTTGTCATTGCCCTTTTCCAACATCTGCTCACGGGTATCCAAATTCCGGAACATGTCTCCGGAGTTGAAGGCAGAAGCACCAGCCTCGGAGCGTCCATCGAGATCGCGACTACCAAAATACCCTTGCTTTCCTTCCTCGCCGTATATGAAACCACCCGGCGACTGGTCCGCCGGGCCAAGGAGTCGGACTTTGGAATCATGGTAGTTCGCGGTCTGCGGGTGAAGCAGACCGTCCCCGCCTTCGTCGGAGCCTTCACCTGCAGCGTAGACGGGGACCACGCGCTCGCCGACCTTTGCAAGGTCCGCCCAGCAACGCTCGCTAAGGAAGACACCTGTGCTGCCGACTCGGGCTTCATTCCCCGGCCATCGCTTTTCATCAAGGACAACCTCAGCCTTCTCCCTGTCGCTTCCCACCACAACATTGCCAATTTCAGCTAGACCCAGGAACTCAGCGAATGGGAGGAAGACACTGAAGTCTGCATTCCTCAGTCGCTGGCTGATTTCCGTGATGCCGAATGTCTGTACTTGCGCGCGGACACATTTGCTGTCGAATTGATTGGCGATACGTCGATCATTGGGCTTCAGGCAGAAAACGAAGTAAGGGTTCAAGTTGGGGGAGCTCAGGCATTTATTGACAATGTCTAACGAAGACAGGAACTGTCCGGCAGCGCCCTGGATGCCACTGGCAATCATGGCGCTCTTGCGTCTTCCGGAACTCCTCGACGTACTGTCAGCCTGACTCTCAATCTCGTCTCTGTCCTCGATAGGCGGCGGCGCATCGAACATGGGACGGGAAGACGGGCCATTTTTACGCCTGGCCATACTGGGCATACGCAGCGGCTTCGAGCTAACTTGCGCTTGTACAATGGCGGTCTTCTCTTGGGGATGCGTAACCGTGTGTAGGGCCTCCTGGCCAAACAGATCTCTCACAAATTCGCTGTTCGTGGACTTCATGAGATTCATCAGATCTCCGGAGATCATATCACCGTTCTCCTCAAGAAGACCATGAACAGGGTATTCGACTTCGCCAGCAAAGTGCTTCACTGTGAACGAAGTGCGTGCATGCTGGGAGACCACACCCGTGGCTTGGCCAGTGGAACCAACGGTGATAGCGGGGTTCTTGTTTTCAAAACGTCTTCTTACCGATTCGAGGAATTGAGAGTCTGTCCTACCACGCCTAGTCTGGTCATCGAGGATACTCAATAAACCGTTTGCGGGTTTCAACAGGCCTCGCACGGTATCAACGTTGTCGAAATAGCTCGTCGCTGGCACGGAAACCTCTTCCCGTTCCAGCATATCTGCCTTCCGGTCGAAGAAAGATTGCAGGCAGAAATTGTACAGGGACTCCGTCGCCGCATTGCTCAGCAGCTGATCCAACGTCGAGCCGGTTGCGCTGACTTGAGAGAAACCAGGGAAGTCGACGACCGAGACGGTGTTGGCCACACTGTCCTCGGCGGCGCAGATCTTCTGATTGATGGTCTCAATCACATATGCCACCAGGAGAGAGTACAGGGTCCTGGCCAAATCATCCGCATTCTGCCGTGCCCCCTTGGGATCCAACATAACAGTGACGCGCTCCCGGCGGATGGTCTTCGTCTTGTAGCCAAAACTGGTCTCGAGTTGTTCCACACTCAAGCCCAGGAAGGCCGCAATGATGGACAAAACATCCTTGTTTCTGACGACGGTAACCTTCTCGCCACCCTCGTGAGAGTATCCGCCAGATTCTTCCGCCCCGGTCGTCGTGGTCTGTCCGCTCACGAAATCAAGTTGTCCCAGATGAAGGATCGTCGCCAACATCTGACACAGCTCCGCGATTTCACTGCGGGGGAACTCTAACTTTCTCAATGCAGTTTTAAAGTGCTGGAATCCATCGGCGTCGTTGATGCCCACCTTGAGCTGGGTGGGATGACCCAGATATCTCCATCGTTTGTGGCCGATCGAGGCGGAAGACAGCTTGCCGGCCGCGGTCGAGACGTGGATCGAATTGTCGAACCCTAGATGGGTCTTCTCGGCAGCACTCGTTCCAGCAAGGAGATAGTAAAGGACGTGAAAGCTTCGTTCGCCAGTAGGAACGGAAGCAATGCGACTGCGCTCAAGTCTGTGGTCGATAATCTTACCACCGATTAGGGTGGGGTTCACTGATGAGGAGCCATCGTACTGGAGTTCCAAGAAAAGCCCAGCTTTGGATGCAGTCGGCGTGGTCAGGGACTTGGTTGTCGTGAGGGTGTCGAAGACGAAAGCAGCGTATGACAGCTTCGAGGATAGAGGGGTGGAGGAGAACGAGAGGAAGGCCGAAACGATGTGAGAACGAAGGGTGGTCTTTCCGGAGCCACTCTCACCACTGAGTTATCTTGTTAGCTTTCGTCCCAACTGTGACGACCACCAAGGGGCTTACAGGAAAACAATGGCCTGGTTCTCTCCCCGTGCACCGAGACGAGTGAATGCCCGCCTGGCCAGGTCCTCCGCCTCTCCCATAGCACTGCCCTCTTTGTCGCCATCAGGACCTTTGGCAGATGAGGTATATGTGTTGAGACTAATCAAAGCTTGCGATGACAAGCGAGCAGTTGGTAATCCGACATGGAATCTACAGTGTCACACCGTTAGCAACCTGAATTCCTTTGACGAGCTCACATGGGCTTCATTACCGGCTGGCCAAGTGTGCAGTCAGGTGTGTGTCAGACTGCAGATGTGAAGGTAATGACGGTAGTGAGGATTGTGCATGAGACGGGGTGTGTCCCGCGGTGGCATGTGCAACCATGTTCGCGGTGTTTACGCCTCAAGACCCAGGTCGTGGGTCAGGCCGAATGTTGAAGCTGCTCACAATAGCGACCTCGAAGTTATCTTAGAGGTGGGAGCAGTTGGATCGATGTCAAATTTAGTGGAATCCTTTCTTGCTATGCTCGGCCGAAGTAAAACGCGTGTTGTTGTTCCGGGCCCAGGAATGTTGCGATTACCTCGAATGGACAATGCTTGATAGTCAGTCAAAGTAACATAGGTACATTTCCTGCACTGATCATAGCAATCTGCGCTTGAAACAAAGTTTGAATGATGCCCCAAACTTCAAGGTCAAGAGAAGCGACTGGAGGTAGCCCGCAGAGTTGGGGGGTAGATGGGAGGGGGGCGCAAGTTGGTTTGAAGCGATTGTAAATGGCGGGCGCCAAGTGAGATGAAGCGAACGTCGATGACGGGGGCAATGGGAAGGAGATTAAGATTAGGATTATCAGATGTCAAACACAATCACAATCACAACAACCACAAAAACGGCGAAGGAGCAACAGAGCGATGGGAATTCGAAGGAGGAAGAGGAAGAAGCAACACCAGTGAACAACGGGTAGCTTTTTCTGGGGACAGACAGACAAGACAAACGCATCGGACAATGTTGATAAAGGGAATCCACTCCTGGTCCAGTCTGGTAAGTATATTACCGTATGGGGTAAGTCCGTATGGATGGATCTTTTTATGGGCGGCGGCGGGGGAGAGGGAAGAAAAGAAACACAGAGAAAAAAAGAGGGGACATTAGGTTGAAAGTTACTAGTACACTGGTAAAGAGCTGAGGTTACGTATTTTTCATTTCACCACTCTTCACTATCTCTTTTGTTATTATTATCGATTTTCTTCACTAATTGCCGGGCAACCTGCTCTTACGGTAGTAGTCTACAGATTAGCAGCATCCTTTCTTCGGCCATTACGAGAAATAGAGCATAAAATCCAAGCCCATCCCATCCCATGCTGCTAGGGGAGAATTATTTTTGGAGGCTGCATCCTGCACCTGACAGCCGAGGGCCCGCGGATCCGAATCCAGGTGGAGGGCTGTACAGAAACCGGTTGGGCGAAGCTTCCCTGGGAATGGAATGGTCTGGTCTCTGGCTCAGGCTCGACTGGCTGACGGGCTGACCTCAAAGGTTAGGGTCGGGGGGGCCGGGCCCTGAGGTACCAATCGTTTCGATTTCGATCAATAAACATACGCTGTAAACAAGACCCATAATTACCATTGGTCTTGTCTTTGTGGTTTCCCGCGAGGTCTCAGATAGAATACCTCTTCGCTCTGCTCTCCTGCTGCCCGCCCGCCCCCCCTCGAGTCAGAATTAGAATTACCAGCTGAGAATGTGAGACGAGGGCTGCCCATCCAATGCTGGCGCAACAGAAACAATCCCATGTCAATCATTCAGCGCCACCCGCGCAGGGTCGAAAAGGGGGGAGGGGAGGGGCTCCAACTTCCCTGACTGATGCAGTTGCCAGTCAGGGCGGGTTCGGACGACGCGCGGATTCTTCCACGCATCGTATAGGATGTGGAGGGTGAAACGGGGTGTGGTAGAGGCAGTGGACTCAATAAACCCATGCGGCATGCAGAGAGCAGACGTGCAGTCATGATGATGGAGACTCGGGAAGCGGACAGGATCTGATATGGAGATCCTCCAGAAAGAGAGACATTTGAGATCATAAGTAGTCAAACTCGAAGACTCGATCCAGTCTGACGGTGATGCCAAGTTTGGAGCACCACATTTTGTACCGTCTGTGGTTGGTGATCAGGATCATCCGGGAGACCCTGAGCAGTTAGCAGCACAATCCAACCCAAAAGGAAGAATTCGGGTGGAGTGGAGCGATCATTCGATCTCATTCCCCAATCCAGCCAAGCGTGAAACTAGGGGTGCTTTTGTGACCAACAGCATCGACGAGAAAAAAAAAGTGGGAATCTTTTCTTCTTTTCCTTGCCCGGACCCACGAAGTTGGGGGAAGACTGGAGGAGGGAAGGGAAAGGAAGGGAAGAGATAAAAACCCCCCTTTCGTTTGTTGTTTTTTCCCCTTCCCTCTCCAACAAAAGAGAGACAGGGTTCCTTAGTCAGCTGTGCACCCTTTCCTCCCTCTTTTGCCCCCTCTCTCTGTCGTTCTGTACTCCGTACCCCGACAACACTAACTTCTGCAGCGACAATTTACAGCAATCTATTGATATTGATGGGGAGGAGGCAATTCATGCGAGGTGGCTAGCAAGCGAAATCGATATTACCGTAGTACCATTACAGCGTCCGAGTCAGGCTTAACTTTCTTACACGTATCACCATGGTTTGGACACTTTGCCCGTGTAGTAGTCAGACTGGTGTGTGGGTATCTGGTAGTCTGGTAACACACGAACAGACTCAGCACAGCATTTGTTGAGCAGGCATAAAAAGTGTCCTGCCATGACAAAAAATAAAAATAAAAATAAAAAAAAACTACCATCCACGGCCGCAGCCAATCCGGGATGAATTGGATGCAGAATTGTCTCTGAACAGCATATGACAGCTACCCCTCCATGCTGGAAAGATATCCAGAAATAGCAGAGCGGCGAGACTGCAGTGCCAAAGAGTGGCAAGACAAGGGCGGCCACCTTAATTGGCCTCTTGCCTGAGACAAGAACAGTTGTTGAAGAGGTGTGAGACAACAACTCAGTTTTGTTGCCAATTATAGGGTTTCCCTCCAGGGTCTAAAGCCATGGATCAATCCTACTCCGCATCACCGATTGGCTGCAGCCAAAGTACGTTAAGCACGCCACATGACATTGGTCGAGCCTCGCTTGAAGGCAAAGATAGAAGTGAAAGAGATACACACACTTACACACCCACACTCATTGCACCTAGTAATTTATCGTCTTCCCGGTGAAGAGAGCAATGGAGTCAGAGACACAATTAAGGGGGTCAAAGGGAGGTCACTAGTCTCAACTGCCCATTTGACCACCATTCTACCACCTGAGTAAGGTCTCCTGGCCCGAATACGGAGACTACGTTGACTACCCATGGATAGTTCTGCTGCTTACTCCAGAGTAGTATCTGTCTCCTGCACTTGACCGCTTAAAGTTAGCTAGTTTGAGTGGCTAGTAACTGATCGTCTCTCCTGGTCATTGCAAATTACCCCATGACAACATTGAAACCCAAACTGCGCCCGCAGGTTGGCGGGTATCTACCGAGCTAGTGAGCACCCTGTAATGTGCAGACAGTCGCAGTACTAGTGTCGGCGGTAAGCGGTAATCTACCCCCGATGTCCCAGTAATTTTCAAACCCGCCCCGACCCATACTTACTTACCCATACCCATACCTGACTATCCCGATCGAGCTAAGCTCTGACTGGTAACTGAGAGAGAGAGCGTAAGTATTGGTACAAACAACATTCGATCAACTCGCTCCTCTCTGCTGCCGCTGCTGCTTTCTTTCCTGCGCTGTTGCGTTGCATCTTCATCTTGGCTTTTGTTCCCTCCGTTGCTGCTTGTCCTGCATTGTTTAATTCCTCTTTTTTTGTGCAGTTCTTCAACTCTGTCGCTATCCTATCCCCTCATCTCCCTCCAGTCTTTCGCTTTCTCGAGTTATTCCCCCCCATCTCCAAGCACTCTAATCTTAATCGATCGATCCTCCAACATTCGCTACCGACTACCGTCCCTGACACTCGCTCAGAAGACATTCACCTGATACATACTCGAGACTTGATAGACTATTTTGATCGGACTTGTCGATAGTCACATAACACGACACGGTTTTATTCTGACCGACAAGCTACAGTCCTACAACCACCAAGACATGCTCATGGCTTGATCGCCCGCCTTTGAATCAGCCAACCCAAGACCCATGCTATAACCAGCCACCCAGCCTATACATTTATCGGACACTGGATCGGGCTGCTTGGGCAACTTCTTAACCAGAAAGTATATCGACTTGACTGTTGTGAGCTGCTGTGAACAGGAACAACCACCATGTCCACTCGCTTTTCCGTTTACTCGGGCCATTCCGCTGGCCTATCGACCTCGCGGCCAGGTGCACACTCACCGAGCCCTGTAACAACAACCACACTTCTGAATGCGCTACATGCCTACTACAACTCGGCTCAAGCATATCAACTCGACGCAGCAACAAGCCTGGTGGTGAATACATGGGTCACTGCCTCGCGGGCCACCTCAAACGGTCAGGATGGAGGCACGATAGACCGTGAGATCGCGCTCCGGGCGTGGGAGCATGCGCGCCGACGAGCGGAGGACGGCTGCATTGTGCTTTGGTATGCAAGATCCTGCTGTGCACAAACTTTCTGCTAACCTACAACAGCTCAGCACACCAGTCGACCCCTTCCATCTTGGAGCCATTCCTGGCGGCTCTGCCACTTTCGACCCCGAGTGTCACCTTCACCGCGCTGACGGCTCTTCGACCCTTCGTCTCCGCTGTGACGTCCTTCAATCCTTCTTATTCCCTCTACTCCGCCCTTGCCGCTCGCTACTCCTTCAATCTGAAAGGGGACATTGTAGGATTGACGTTGTCGCTGTCAACGTCCGGGATCAATGTACGCAAGGGACTTCTCGACATTGCCCCGGAGCCGGGCTTTCGTGCGTTTGACGTCTTCTACTACCTTCTAGCCTCAGTGTCCACCCCCGCCGAGCGCGAGTTCCTGAACCTGAAGGACGCATCGGAGTATTCTCTGCTGAATAAGTCCGGAACCTACACCCCACCATCCTACCTCCCGACAGCGGACGATGCCGCTGCCGCAGAGGATTTCCGGGCCGCGCTCAAGGCCATCGGCATCAAGGGAGCCTCGTTGCGTGGCCTACTGGCTACACTGGCCGGATTGCTGAAGTTAGGCGATGCGGCAGGATTGCTCGTCGATCAGGAGGACCTCGAGGAGGCATGTGAGGAGGTCGGCGGCCTCCTAGGAATTGACCCGGAAATTCTAGCCCGCAAGTGCTCGACCGATGAACGGGAGGTGCTGATTGCTGGAATTTACGAAGCCCTTGTCGATTGGGTGATCGGCAGGGCGAACGAGGCCATTTCGAACGAGCTCCAAGCAATGCTAGAAAGTAGTCCCAGCATGAGCGGTGGCTCCGGCCCTGGAGGTCAATGGACTGACGACGATACTGTTGCCATCACGGTGGTGGACATCCCTCGACCCGCCCTGGGCAAAGCATTGGCAATGAGAGAAGTCTTCGACGATAGCATTGGTATCAATGCGGAAATGAAGGAAGACGGCGTCAGCGTGCCTGCGGTTGGGCATGCAGTTTCCAACGACGTGAACGCGGCAGTGGCACAGGTCGAGCCCGACCTTGGCATTACCACCGGAAATGCCTGGCGCGAACGTGAATACGAAATCGCGCGGCGACAGGAGGTACTCGAGAAAGTCGGCTTCGAGGTGGAAGGGGACTCCTTCCTTCGACGCCTTTTGCTGCCCGTCGAAAGCGAAGGTATCACGGTTGGCCAAAAGGGTCGCTTCGATCTCATCAACACTCTGGGAAGTAGCAGAGTGTGGCATCATATCTCTTTGCACCCAACGGACGAGCTTCCCCAGAATCTTAACCCTTCCCTCCCGGCTGCCGGCTGGTCGGCGGCGGCAGTCTCCCGTCAACTACGCGAATGGCGGTTTGCCGAATGGGCTAACAGACGACTCAAGCAGCTCGATTTCACCGCGGATTTCGATGTGGACGAGTTCGTGAGCCGTTACCACCGACTTGGCTGCGCCGACGGCAGAGAAGGGGTCGAAAGTTGGTTGATGGAACGAGGATGGACCAATGGCGACGCGGTCGTCGGTCACCAGCGTATCTGGATGCGAGAGAGCGCTTGGTGGGAGGCTGAAACGATGCTCGATCTCAAACCGGACGAGTCGCCACCAGTGAACCCGTTTATCTACGGCAGCACTATGCTTGACCCGCATTACGCCGGAACTCCGGTCGTAGAATCGACCAGTCTTCTGGGAAGCCGGGATGACCTGCTTCAAAGACAAAGTACCCTCGTGCCCAGCGTTCATGGTGGCCTGGCCAAGTCTATTGCGCCCAGTGTCCCCAACACGCTTCACATGAGTGGAGGCGATTACGGCCTCGGCAGCAAAGGCGATACGCGGAAGTGGGACGAGGATTATGCCCGGTACGAAGGCGAGCTTGATCCGGAATTTGGAGACGGTAAGCACATCGAGAAGAAGCCCATTACCAAGGTGCGACGTGCCTGGGTCGCCTTTGTGTGGGCGTTGACCTTTTGGATCCCCTCTTTCGCCCTCCGCTGGTTTGGTCGCATGAAGCGTCCTGACGTCCGGATGGCCTGGAGAGAGAAGTTCGTTCTCGTCTTCCTTATCCTGCTGTTCAACGGCATTGTCTGCTTCTATATCATCGCTTTCGGCGACCTTCTGTGTCCGAACAAGAACAAAGTCTGGAACGAAAAGGAACTCAGCTGGCATGTGGGCAACAATGACTTCTACGTCAGTGTCCATGGAAACGTATATGACATCAGCAAGTTCTGGCGTAAACAGCACAGTGACAGCAGTATTGAGACGACCACCACCAACATGAAGCCGTTCGCCGGCGAGATCCTGGATCCGTACTTCCCTCCCCCACTAACTCGTTTCTGCGGCCACTTTGTCACGGAACAGTCAGTTCAAATGCAATACAACGACACCAGCGCCATTGAATACCCTAATGCGGAACACAAGTGTGGTCCCTATGAAACGCCAAGCACGACCACGGCGCTGCACAACATTACGTGGTATGAGGACATCTTCCTACCCAAAATGAAAGGGTACTACAAGGGACCTCTTGTTTGGACCCGAAAGACGGTCAAGGAGCAGGCTGAGTCAAGTTCGCGGTACTGGGTCATTGTCAATGAGAAGATTTATGATCTGACGGATTATTTCTACACGGCCGATTTGTTCGATGACAGCGACGGATATGACTACCTTCCCAGCAGCGTGACCACACTTTTCAAGGACTATGCCGGTGAGGACGTCACGTCGAAGTGGGGAAACAGCACGGATTTCCGCAATGCCCAGACGTGCCTGGACTACGTTTTCTACAAGGGCAAAGTCGATTTCCGCAACAGCCCAAGGTGTACGGTCAACAACTGGATTCTGCTGGCTTTCACGGTTATGATCTGTGCTGTGATTGTTGTCAAGTTCCTTGCCGCTCTGCAGTTCGGTACCAAGCGTCGGCCTGCTCCGCAAGACAAATTCGTTATCTGCATGGTTCCTGCCTACACCGAAGGTGAGGATGCGCTGCGGCAAGGTCTGGACTCGCTTACTGCCCTCGAATATGATAACAAGCGGAAGCTCATCTTCGTGATCTGTGACGGTATGATTGTCGGTGGTGGTAATGACCGGCCAACTCCCAAGATCGTGCTGGATATTCTTGGGGTGGATCCCAAGATCGATCCTCCTGCGTTACCCTGCAAGGCCATTGGACAAGGGAATGAACAACTGAACTACGGAAAGGTATACTCTGGTCTCTACGAATATGAAGGCAATGTGGTTCCGTACATCGTTGTGGTGAAGGTCGGTAAGGAGTCGGAGCAGAGCAAGCCCAAGCCTGGAAACCGTGGCAAGCGTGACTCGCAGATTCTGTTGATGCAGTTCCTGAACCGCGTGCACCATCGCTCCCCCATGACGCCGCTCGAGCTTGAGATCTTCCATCAGATCAACAACGTGATTGGCGTTGACCCCGAGCTGTACGAGTACTGCCTGATGGTGGATGCCGATACTAGTGTGCGGGAAGATTCACTGAATCGACTTGTGGCTGCATGTGCCAATGATGCGCGGATTGCCGGTATTTGTGGCGAGACCAGTCTTCAGAACGAGGAGCGGAGTTGGTGGACGATGATCCAGGTCTACGAGTACTACATTTCTCACCATTTGGCCAAGGCATTCGAATCGCTTTTCGGCACCGTCACCTGTCTTCCGGGATGGTAAGTTACTTGATCCCAGAGTGTCTCAAGTGCTACTAACAGGTTTTAGTTTCTGCATGTATCGCTTGCGCACCGCCGACAAGGGTCGTCCGCTTATCATTTCCGATCAGGTCATCGTCGAATATGCCGACCCTGAAGTGGACACCCTTCACAAGAAGAACCTTTTGTCCCTGGGAGAGGATCGTTTCCTGACCACCCTCATGACGAAGCATTTCCCCCACATGTCCTACAAGTTCATCCCCGATGCCTACGCTAGTACGGCCGCGCCCGAGACATGGTCCGTCCTGCTCTCGCAGAGACGTCGTTGGATCAACTCCACCATCCATAACCTGGTTGAGGTTGCGGCATTGAAGGATATGTGTGGCTTCTGTCTGTTCAGTATGCGGTTCGTCGTCCTGGTTGATCTTATTGGTACGCTTATTCTTCCGGCCACGTGTGTCTACCTGGGATACCTATTGTATCTGGTTGGAAGTGGCACGGGTCAGTTCCCGATCATCTCGATCATTATCTTGGCGGGTGTGTACGGTCTCCAGGCGATCATCTTCCTTCTCAAGCGCCAGTGGCAACACATCGGATGGATGATCATCTATCTGTGTGCCTACCCGGTCTACAACTTCGTTCTGCCGCTGTACTCTTTTTGGAAACAGGATGATTTCAGTTGGGGTAACACGCGTGTCGTGATTGGTGAGAAGGGAGACAAGAAGGTGGTGGCGGTGGAGGAAGACAAATTCGACCCGCGCAGCATTCCGCTGCAGCGCTGGGACGACTATGCTCTGGCCAACAATCTCCCCGGGCGTCGCGGTGACTTCGGCATGAGCCAGGAGAAGCTGTACTCTGGGCGTTTTGGTGACGAGATGGCGATGGAAATGGACGACATGCACTCGCAGTATTCGTCGGTCAAGCCGGCGTCGACGATCCTGACGGGCTTCCCCGGGCAGGGTCGCCACAGCAGCCCTTACATGCCACCGCAGTCGCCGGCACCTTTCCTCAACACGCCGGGCAACCGCCAATCGCATCTGTCCAGCTTCACGAGGTACACGGACAACCCTCACCAGAGCAGCCACAACGTGTCGCGCCACATGTCGATGGGCAACTTGAGCCAGTTCCAGGACAGTGGGATGGCGACGAACCGCCACAGTGTGGGATTGATGCAGAGCACGGAGAACCTGCTCGGTGGGCCGCGGCCCAACTCGCGCAGTCCGGTGGGGGGTTACTCCTCTCGACCGGTGAGCGCGTTCGATTTCCGCGGGGGCAGTGGGCCGGACGAGGCCTCGATCACGGAGGCGATTCGCAGCTGCTTGGCCGAGGTGGATTTGGACACGGTGACGAAGAAGCAGGGTAAGTGATTTGCCTGGGTGGTTGTTTCGGTTACTTACTAATCTGGCACAGTGCGCGCATTGGTTGAGCAACGATTGCAAACGACGTTGATGGGCGACAAACGGGCCTTCCTCGACAAACAGATTGACCACGAGCTGGCCAATATGTAGTGATCCGTTGGTCGGGGTTACTTGTATTTTTGCCATTTGTTTTAACACATACATAGTATTTTCGGGCATGCACGGTGTTGGGTGATTACTAGCGATTAATGGATGTATCGATTGGTGCATACAGGCGGATCAGACGTAGGACATGATGCATGCAGTGAAGTAGTGTAGTGTACCTGCTGATCGTGACTATCCAGTAGGTGCTGTGTACCTGCATGGCGTATGCATCAATCAATGACTGCAGATATAATAAAGAGACAAGATAGTACCCCGCAACCATAATCGTCACGAACAAACATTGACATCAAAACCAATCCAGATCCAAAACAAGAAGAATCACCACCACCGAAACCACCCACCCCTCCCCTTCCCAGGACTTCCGCTGTCATCGGCATCATCACCTCCACCCTCCTCCTCCCGAATTCCCCCCCGCTCATCCCTCCTCACCTTCCCATTCCCCTTCCCAGCCCCAATACCCCCAACATCCCCCAGCCCAGGAAACCGAGCATCCCCCTCATCCCCAGAATCATCCCCCTCCCCCTCCCCCAAATGAGAACCCTCAACCAACCGCAACGTCTCCTCCACCACCAGCAACTCGCGCTCAATCACCTCCGCCCAATTCTGCACGTCCCCGATTTCTTTCAGAGCGTCGCGCGCCGCGTCCGCCGTCTTGGCCAGCTGGGCGTTCTGCTTCGCCAGCGCGGCCGTCGACCCCGCCAGCGCGTGCTCCTGGCGCTCGAGGGCAGCGGCGTTGTCGTGTAGGATCCGGGCGCGCTCGCGGAGGTGCGTCTCGTGCGCTTGGGCTGTGCTCCGCAGGGTGGCGGTGAAGGCTGTTCGGGCTTCGGTTGCTGTGTTTGTGTTTGAGGGGGAGGCTGTTGTGGTTGAGGTTGGGTCTGAGGCTGGCGGGAGGGGGGGTTTTGGGGGGTGCTGGTACTGGTGCCGAGGAGGGGATTGGGGGGTGTGGCTGTGGCTGCCGGTGCGGGTGCGGGTGCGGGGGTTGTGGTTGCGTTTGTGGTTGTGGTTGGTGTGGTGGTGGTGGTGGTGGTGGTGGGGTGGTCGGGCATTTTGGTGATGTTTGTTAAGGATCAGGATGGTTTGATCGTAGGGTGGTTTCTGGTGTGGTTGGTAGAGGGGACTTGGTGATGGTGATGTGGTGGAGATGGGAGGATATAGCTTGACTTGACTAGACTACATACTAGGCATATCCTTGTCAGTTGCATGTGATTTATACGGCTGGAGATAGGTCAGTCGGTGTAGTAGGTACAGTACACTGTTCTACACCTTATACTTACTTTATTTTTAGTCAATCGAGAATATGACACTCTATACAGCACTTCCTGTTGGTAGCTATGGATTGTTTACTTCAATACTACTCGCTCATACTCCGACAAGGTCATGAATCGACGATTCTAACCATGGAACAGGAACACCCGCCCCGCCCCGCCCCGCCTTGCCTTTTACCTTCCTATCTACATCCACAGCAATCCCCTTCTATCAAGTCCACGCAATCCGCACCTCTACAAGGAATCAGAAACAAAAAGGATGCCTAGCGCAGGATTCCCGCCCCCAAACCCACCCATATAGTCAATCTCACCCCACCATTTTCACCAGTAGTTTCTCTAAGGAGTCCCGCCAAAAGATACCGGAAGTACCCGGCCTTAAGCATAAACTCCGTCCACCAGACCCAGCCCCAACAACACCACCTTATACATGGCACAACCACATACATCACCTACATATACATCCCGCCTCCCATCTGCCCCCCACCTCCCCATCATCCCCCTTCAACTCCCCACCCCCAAAATGCCAAAAACATACCTAATAACCGGCTCATCCAGCGGCCTCGGCGCGGCCCTCGCCCACTCCGCCCTGCAAGCAGGGCACACCGTCCTGGCCACAGCGCGCAACCCCACCCAAGCCTCACTCACCAACCCCCAACTCACCAACCACCCAAACCTAACCTGGCTGCCCCTCGACATCACCTCTCCCGACACCCTCAGCACTCTGCTCGCCGCCCTCGCCGCCCACCCGCCCGTCGACGTCCTCATCAACAACGCCGGCTACTCCCTGCTAGGCAGTATCGAAGACATGACCCTCGCCGAAGTGGCCGCGCAGTTCGACACGAACGTGTTCGGGGCGATCCGCGTGCTGCAGGCGGTGCTGCCGTCCATGCGGGCGCGGCGGGCCGGCACTATTGTGAATGTCTCGAGTAGTGCGGGTGTGGATGGGTTGCCTGCTTGTGCGGTTTATGCGGGGAGTAAATTTGCTCTTGAAGGTAGGTTACTCTCCGGTTTCTTGAGGAAGAGGGGGGGGTTGGTTTGGGCTGCGGGAGATAGGCTAATGTGTCTCTTGGGGTAGGCATGTCTGAGAGTCTGTCCAAGGAACTCGCCCCCTTTGGGATCCGCGTGCTGCTGGTCGAGCCGGGGACGCTGCGGACGGGCTTCTGGGCGGCATTTGTGGAGCCGGCGGCGGGGTTGAATCCGGAGTATGCGGGAACGCCGGTGGAGGCGGTTCTGACTAAATTTAGGGGGAATAAGACAGCAAAGGATGCGGCGGGCTCGGATCCGGTCAAGGCGGCGCAGCGGATTGTCGAGGTGGTGGATGGGACGGGGTTGGGACGGGGCAAAGATGGGCTGTTGCGGGTGCCGTTGGGGGAGGATTGTTATCGGCGGTTCCAGGCTAAGGTTGAGGGTCTGCAGCAGAATTTGGAGCAGATGAGGGAGATTGCGCATTCGATTGGGTTTGAGGAGTAGAGGATGCGGTGCTTGTATGTAGGTAGTGTCGAGATAGGTAGTGGGTTGTAGATATGTTCGATAGAAGTAGAGCCCTGCTGACCAAAGTATATACAAAGTTGAATCCTGACCGGTATACCAATTCCAAGTCAAGACATCTGTCCAGGTTAATCCTCGGCCTCCTCCCCCTCCTCAAAATACTCCCGCCAGATATTCAAGCGATCTCGCCCCTCATCCTCCTCCATCCCCCATTCCTCCCATTCATCCCACTCCCCCAGACTCATCAGATGCCGCATCGTAGGCCGCCCGTGAGGACAGTTCCACGGCTTGTCGATCGTTCCCAGGTTGCGCACCACCCGCCGCATCTGCTTCGTCGTCAGGTTCTTCCCGATCATGATACTCGACCGACACGCCCGCATGGCGAACATCTTCCGCACCTTGGTCGGGCGGGGCACTTCCTCACTCCCACTCGTCGCGGGCATCTCCGACAGCAGCACGATCAGCTCCTCCAGGTCGCGCTCCCCGAAGACCACCTCCTTGCTCAGCGGCAACGACACCAGCCGGCAGCGGCGGCCGATGGGCTCGTCCCCGCTGTCGTCCACCTCCACCACGAACCCGTTCTTCTCCAGCGCCGCCTGGTTCTCGATCACGACCTCCTCCTCGACTGCCGTCAGGTCTAGCGGCTTGGGCCGCACTAGCCGCTGGTTCTGCACCACCGTCTCCGCCTGTAGGCGCTCGAAATTGTACTTCTCATCCGAGGCGTGCTGGTCGATAATGAACAGCTCATCTTGGTGGGTGCCGGAGGTAGTATGGCCGCCACGGGGTCGCGTCGCCAGAATGAACCCTAGGTTGAACTGTCCGATGATCCGCATCTGCGCGAAATCATCCTTGCTGACCGTCAGGGACAGTCGTTCTTCTGCAGTAGCCTGGGTTTCTGCTACCTCGGTTGGGTCTTGTGTAGTGTCGGCTGCTGCGTGACGAAGGCAGGTTTGCAGTTGGTTGAATCGGGTTTGGATCTTGGATAGGGAGCCGTCGACGGTGGTCACGAGTTGGACCGTGGAGTCGCGGTGAGCGGCGCCCTTGTTCATTTTAATGGCACGCTTTTCGCTGTTGTGCGGGAGGGCGGTCTTCTCCTCCGCTTGTTGGATCAACCGCTGCACTTCGACCTCTTCATGCTGCTTCTTCTCTTCCTCGGTCATGTGCTCTTGCGCAGGTTGCGTGGCGGTTTCCTTGTCGGCTGCTTCATCTGCACCGGCGTCGGAGTGCGCAGAAGCTTGAGAGCCGGTCTCTTCCATCTGCTCTGCATCATCTACCTCCATCTCGTCTAATTCAGCATCCTCGTCCATCTCGTCTTGCTCTTCTTCGACTTCGTCAGAGTACTCGTCCTCAATCTCTTCATCCCCCTCGGTCTCGTCCTGCGCCATCTGGGACCCAGGGGCGGCAAAGTCGCGCATATGTTTGCCAAAAATGCTCGGCCGGGACGGCGTGTGTATCCGCCTCTTCCTGGTAGAGCCACTTGACCCAGTGGAGTCACTGAATCTCTTCTTCGGGACACCACTTCCTATCACGGAGGTGACGGTCCGGTTACCAATGTTGATCGTGGCGATCTCGGCCGGCATGCGTCTGGGCCGCATGCGATCAAAGGCGTTCTGCACAATACTCGGCGTTTCTTCCGGGATCTCTGAGTCCTGTGTCGAGGGGATTGGAGGGCTCAAGGGAGCGGCAGCCTGGGTGTCCTGTGTAGAGCCACCAGGCACTTCGTCCTGCGGAAGAGCCCTCTCGCGAGACACTGGCGTGCTGTCCTGCCGCACAAAGAGCTCGTTGTCTTCTTCTTCCTCTTCCTCGGGCAAATCAGGCTGAGACTGCGGTGCTGCAGACACAGCGTCTTGTATCTCATTCGGAGCATCATCAGCAGGCTCTTCACGGTTGCCTCCAGCCCCAAGTCCACTCAAGAAGCTCTTCATTCGATCCTGAGCGTTGGCGTGCCCTGCACCCTTCGTCTTGATCTGTGGCTTGTCCCCATCTTCTTCTTCTTCTTCCTCCTCCTCCTCCTCCTCCTCCTCCTCCTCCTCCTTCTCCCTATCCTTAGCAGCATCACCCGCACGACCAGAACCCAGACCCTGCAACCGCGACTGCCTCCCCGCCGCCACCTGCGCCTGCGGCACCGTCTGCTCCGCCCTCTCAAACAACTCCACCAGCGCCCGCTTCAACGACTCAATCAGCTGGCCCGCATCATGCAGCAAGATCGTCCGCTTATCCGGCGACACATTGACATCATACGCCGCCGTATCCATCTCGAAGTCCGCAAACACGAACGGCGACTGCGCGACATTGAATGAGCGATAGACCTCATTAAACGCCTTAGCGATCTGCGGCAGCCCACAGGGCCGCGCATTCACAAAGAACATCTGGCGATCGGGCGTCTGGCGCCCCTCCCCGACCACGGGCCGAGAGATATGGCCGCGCACCTTGATGCTGCCGGCAAAATCCAGCTCCAGCTCCAGCGGAATCAACGCTCCCAGCGTCTTCGCCCCATACACATTCGCCAGGTTTGCCTTGGTCGTAGCATTCCCATTCGTGCTGAACACCACCACATTCCTTCCCGCCCCGCCGCCACTTTTAGTGGCAGTAGTATTGCGCACGGTAAACCGCACCCCCGTACTGATGCACGCGTACGCATGCAGCAGGTTGACGACCTTGCCGTACTCGCGCTTGAGATTCTTCTCCAGCTCGCGGCGCCGCACCGGCAAGCCGCGGAAGATGTGCGCAACCGCGGCGGTCGTGCCCTTCTGCCCGGCCACGAGCTGCGTTTTGCACAGGCGGCCAGACGGCTCGAAGTCCAGCCGCGTCGCCTTGGGCGCCTGGTGCGCCTGGGCCGTCACGACGTGGAAGCTGGACAGCGCGCACAGCGAGGAGAGCGCCTCGCCGCGGAAACCGAAGGTGTGGAGCGTGTTCAGGTCGGTGAAGGTCGCCAGTTTGGAGGTGTGGTGCTTCAGGGCTGCGTCGGCGTTGGCATTAGCATGTCCATCCACTACCATAACGCTTTGCAATAATCGTGACCGTAGTCAACGGGCTTGGGGTTAGGGAGGCACACCCAGACTCTCATAATTTTCCGGCGCGATCCCGCTGCCGTTATCCTGGACTTCGATGAGATCGAGCCCGTTGTTCTTGAAGCGCACCTCTATGCCAAGGAGAAATTAGTTCTTGCTGCAGTGCCTAGCGTTTTGAATCAGGGGTTTATAGGAGGGGGCCGCACCGATGGAGGTGGCGCCGGCATCGAGACTGTTTTCGACCAGCTCCTTCGCGACGGAGCAGAGGTCGGTGATGACTTGGCCGGATTGGATTTGGTGGACCTTTTTTGGGGGGGTGGTTAGAGAGAGGGCTGCTGTTGTTCGGAAGAAAAAGAGGGCAACGTACTGAGCGGGCCTCGATGGCCTTGATGGTCGCCATGTTCATGCCATGGCTCAGCTGTTTGGAGAGGAAAGCTCGAAGCTTCTGGGGAAACGGAGGGTGGGCTCCACGCGTCGGGCGGTTACCACTTTACGCGACCCCGATAACTACGTAAGCAGCCTGCGGATCCCCGCTATCTACTGTACAGTACCCTGCAGTATACGTATACTGTTTGCATGAGCTACGCGGACCTACGTAGTAAATGGACTGAGCGAGCGAAATACTGTTGAAATCATGCATACTCGTGCCAGAAATATATACAACCATACAACAAAACAGAACGAACGACAAAATCGCTAAGCAACGCTCAACGCCAAAGAATACGCGGCTATACTACATACACCCCTAGTAGGTATCGAAGCGGTCGGGAAGAACCACCGGGGCGATCAAAGTCCACAGGTAGATCGCGTAGCACACCCAGGCGCTGATGATCTTGACCCAGCTGGCCCAGTAGGTCCGGCCCACCGGCGCAAAGTCGTCCGCCGCCTCGGGGTCCAGGTTCTGCGTGAGCAGCGTGGCCACCCAGGTGGTCGCCAGGAAGAAGATGATGTGGAACAGGGAGTAGTTGTACTGCGTCGAACCCTTCTCGTCGTCCTTGGTGTCGTACTCGTCGGATTCGTCGTCGCTCTCGTCGAGGGCGCTGGCGGGCAAGCTGCCGCTGGCCACCGCCGCACGGAGCACCTCGGCCCGCATCTCCCGACGACTGCTGGGCTGCTGCGTCACGAGGCCGTGCTCGTTGTCATCGGACTGCAGCTGCGAGTAGCTGTGCCCGCCCTTCGACCCCAGCGCGATTCCCTGGGTGGCCGCGCGCGTGGTGGTGTATGCGATCGTGGCCATCGTGACGATCGCGCCCAGAACAATGCTAGCGGTGCGGGTGCCCCGCGCCCGAACCAACGGGTTGCAGTGCCGGTCATCCGGTTCCATCGAGACAGCTGACATGGTCAGATACGTGCAGTAGACCGTCACCATTGCAGCCTGGGCCAGTCCCGCGCGGGGGTTGGACTCCTGCACTATGGGCTGCACAGAGATTATCGAGACGATCAAGAAGATGACGAGGTTGATCTAAAGTGCAAAAGTCAGCAGGAAGACCCATGACCACAAATGTGCACTGTGCAAGTCACTTACCGTAATCGCAGCCTGGTTCATGGAGCATCCGCTGTGGGCGAAGAAGACATACATCAGGATCGTCATGACGAGCGATGCAAGGTACATGCCCACGGTCGAGCCAATGAGCAGACCGCGCCAAGTCCGGGAGTCCTGGTCCTCGATCTTCTGCAGGCAGATTTCGGCCCAAGAGTGGGCCAGGTCCACGAGGAGGATCAGCCCGAGGAGCAGGAACAGCATGGCGCAGAAGAAGGCGATGTAGTGTCCATAGACGAAGAAGAACGATTCCGGGATGAAGAATGACGTGACCACGAGGGCGAGCCACAGGATGATCTTCGGACCCCAGAACCCATTCTGCAGGACGGCACGGCCATCTTTGGAGGACCTCACCCCGAGCAGGGCGAGGGCGAGGATCAAGTGAAACAGGCCAAGACCGAAGTTGATACGATGCACCGCGACCCATCCGTGACATTCCTTGCCGTCACACCGGATTTCCATGTAGTCCAAAGTCATGTGCTGAAGTTTCTTGAGTGCCCATGGCGTGAGCATGATCCAGGATACGATTGAGTTGAAAAGGAGGATGAAGGCGTAGGCGATTCTCGTCGCCATGCTGCGCGGTGTTAGTTCCATGTTCGCGTGTTCTCCGAGAAGCCATAGGTTTCACCTGTTCTGGAACTTGCCACATGCGCTACATACTGCGGAACAGGTCGCAGCGCCGCAGCAGGAAGTCGCAAGGGTGATGAGCTGTGTCGCGATTAGTCGGAGACGGGCGACGAGGATAGAGATTACGTACCGTGCTGGCGCTCGGGATTGCCAACAAAGGCAGAGACAGAAGGGCTCCCATGATGATGAACCTTTCAATGCCTCAATGTTTTCTGTCTGGAGAGGTAAGTTGATATAGATAGCGTTGACAAGTAGCGGAACAGTCCGTAGTGAATAATAAGTAGTAAGTAGTTTGTGGCCGGGACTGCAGACCAAGCAAGGCAGGCAGCAAGTCAACATGCCGCCGGCAATTGTTTGTCGCCGCCGCCTTCGTCATGTGAGACTCACCGCCGGCATCGGAGAAACTGCCTGTGAACGGTCAGGCCCCTTTTTTGGGCCTTATCGGCGATAAGCGACTGGTCCTGGTGGTCCTGACAAGAACTGCCACTGCCAGTGCAGCGCAAGTGCGGAGTCGAGGCCGAGGACGGCGCGATCTTCCAATCCACCCGATTACGAGTCCCCCCGAGGGGAAAAAGGAAAGATTCGACAGAAGACACTTGGAGCGAGTGCCAGGTGAAAATCCTCTCCTTCCTCTGCTGTCGCTCATTACTTGTTCATTTTTTCTCGTATCTCATCTTTCTTTTTCTAACTCTCCCCACCACTCTTTACTCGGCTTTGTTTCTTTTCTTTTTCTCAATTGATTACACAGTACACCGTCACTACATTCGTTTATCTCGATTGGCGCTGTCATATACTCCTAGTTGACCTATCTGAGTAACTTACCACTAAGCTACAAACTAGTCCCGTCTCCTTGCGTTCGGCCTTCTGTTCGGTTATCGTGACGTGATAACGTTTCTCCCCTGCACCATCCGTGGAACACTCCGAGTCGAGGCTACAAATAGACACTCGCCGTCTTGCGACCTCTTTCCCCACCTTTTCTTTGCATGTGAGGCCCGCTCCCTGGCTTTCCTGGCGCAAACGGCACCCAAAGACTGCAACATGGCGCCTTCATCGCATCAAACGAAGCGATTCATCTCCGTGATAGCAGCAACGGTGGTTGCGCTCGCCTGTGGGACGAATGTAGGTATCATTCCACCATCTGATATACCGTGCACGCGAGTCCTAATCAGACCCAGTATGCATACTCCGCATGGGCGCCTCAGTTCGCGCAACAGATGAAAATCTCAGCAACGAAAAGCAACTTCATCGTAAGCATGCTGTTCATTCAATCAAGTTGACCTTGAGATTCACAAATTCCAGGGTGCTGCGGGAAATCTGGGCATGTATGCGTCAGGCATCCCGTTGGGACTGTTGACCGATGCTCGGGGCCCCCGTCTGACGACCTTCTTGGGAGCTATCACTCTCGGCTTGGGCTATTATCCCATCTATCTGGGTAGGCGCTGGTGTCACCTGTGGTGAAGAAGACTGCTAATTCCAGTCGATGAGCACAGCACATGAGGGCGGGCCAGGCTCTCTCAGCACCATTTTCTTGGCCTTCTTCAGTTTCCTGACCGGCTTCGGCAGTGCCTCGGCATTCTCAGCATCTATCAAGACTTGTAAGTCCATGCTGGCTGACTTTGTTGAACTTGTGCTAAGACACCACGATTGCAGCGGCGTCGAATTTCCCCGAGCACCGTGGAACGGCGACTGCGTTTCCGTTGGCGGCCTTCGGCTTAAGCGCCTTCTTCTGGTCGACGATATCCAGCGTTCTCTTCAAGGATGACACTGGTCGCTTTCTCCTCCTGTTGGCTCTGGGAACTTGTATTCTGAACCTGATCTCGATCCCGTTTCTCCGAATCCTCCCACCCGTAGACTCGTACATGTCACTCGGCCGAGACCGGTCGCCCGGAGTGGAATCACGTCGGCTGCGCAAAGCGAGGTCCAACGAGCTGCGACCCGGCCATGACGATTCTGATGAAGCAGGTACGCATAGATATAATATCTCTAACTCCCCACCCCCGGGCCATACCAGGTCGCAATCGAACGCGTCGAACCATACTGCCCTCAACCACAACCCCGATGTTAACGAGACCTCTTCCCTGGTTCCCAAAGTCCCATTCAGAACGTCCCACGAATCCCTACCTGAGCATGAAGAGGAGGAGCTTGAAGAGGATGCCATGTCTGATGTTGCTCCCGACTCACCTCATCCAGACGTCAGAGGCTTGGCGATGCTTTCAAGGGTCGAGTTCTGGCAGCTCTTCCTGACTATGGCGCTGCTGTCTGGCATCGGCCTGATGACGATCAAGTGAGTACAATGATGACCCCGTTGACTGTGCATGAAAGACTAACCGCACACCAGTAACATCGGAAACAGCGTAAGACCTTCCTTTCGTCCGGTCCGGTGGGTTGCTAACCTCCGCAGGCCAAGGCACTTTGGAAATATTACGATGACAGCGCAAGCTCGAAGTTCATCCAGCAGCGACAGGTCATGCATGTCTCGATCTTGTCTTTTGGCAACTTCACCGGTCGTCTGTTGAGTGGTAAGTGCTGACACCCCACATCCCGCCTTGGCTCATCAGCTCAACGCCTTCGTGTAACCTGCAGGGATCGGCTCGGATCTTCTGGTTAAGAAGTTGAACATGTCCCGCTTCTGGTGCCTGTTCATGTCCGCTCTGGTTTTCACCATCACCCAGCTCGCCGGGTCGTCGATCTCGAACCCCCACCAGCTGGTCATCGTGTCGGGCTTCACGGGCATCGCCTACGGGTTCCTCTTCGGCGTGTTTCCCTCCCTGGTCGCGCACAACTTCGGCATCAACGGCCTCTCGCAGAACTGGGGCGTCATGACCATGGCCCCGGTTCTCAGCGGCAACGTGTTCAACCTGATCTATGGGCACACCTACGACCATCACTCCGTGGTTGGCCCGGACGGCGACCGGGAATGCCCGGATGGGCTGGCCTGCTACCAGGCTGCTTACTACACTACGTTCTTCTCCGGCTTGGCCGGACTGATTGTGTGCCTGTGGACGATCCTGCGCGAGAGGCGCATCCACGGCGCAATGCGGAAGAAGGTCGAGCATGATCGACTGGCTTGAGGGCTGCGTCTGGTAATACAAGTACCACCCAACCGTGCGAGCTAGCCTTTTGAGAAGGCTATTCCCACAGTTCAACCTGCATGAGCGACCTGGCCATTTCTCAGTCTTTGCGTATGTAATACCCAGGGTCACTTCTATACGAGAAGTCCATAGGAGAGTCTGATTATTGAGAAGGTTTGCTGAATGTCTATGATGTGGTGGTGACTATAGATTTGTTCAGTCTAGACTAGAGTTTTCTCATAGATGGTTTTTATAGACTACTAAGCCTATCGAATGATTTTCAAGTAGCTGTCCGGGCACGACGAATGTCCTTTCCAACCTTTCCAAGTCCACGCTCCGGACATATTAGTCGGGTGGTATAGCACAGTACATGGATGGCGGTTTGCATCCACCCGGCCTTCTTCACCTGATATCCCCATTGATTCTGCTTTTCTACTTCGCACTAAATACATCCAAATATCAAGAACCACCACTACATCTCCAAACCCTGAGTCCACTTCCACTTACACCACCAATAAAACAGGCAATTTCTGATTACCTACCCAGCCCACCAAGTAACTAATTGACTAAACTAGAGAAACGACTTCAAGGTTCCCCTCCACATCAAGATTCCTCTCCACATCAACCACAGCAGCAACCCACCAGACTCTTGACTCACCCTCAAGCACTCAAGCACATTCATTACTATCCCCACACTCACCGACCAAAAAGCCACAACCAAACATAACCCAACCCAACCCCACCAGTCCAACCACAGTACCTTAACCCTCATCCTAAACCCCAGCCCCCCTCCCATACCCCCCGCAACCACAGAAATTCAACCCACAACCCCCACAACCCTCACCTGCACATTGTTCGCCCCGAGCGCCGTCTGCCCAATAAAATTATCCCGGGTCATCTCCACATTCGCCTGCGTGGTCTCGTGGAGCGCCAGCTCGTAGCGCCGGAACAGCGTGCCTAGGACGAGGTGCATCCAGGCTGCGTTCATGCTGCACACACCACACCATCGGTGTAATCTTAGTGGGTTGTGCCAACTGTAACGATGACACGCAACGCAAGCGGGGAGTGTGGGAGTGTTTAGAGGACTGGGGATGATGCTTGGGGGGAAGGGAGGGGGAAAACGTACTTCTGCCCCAAACACCCCAACGTGCCCTTCGACGCAGGCACCAGATACCGCTGCAGATGCAGCGCCTCCTCCGGCGCGAGCAGCCACCGGTCCGGGAGGAAGCGGGTCGGCGCGGGGAAGATGGTCGGGTCGCGGAGGATGAAGTAGGTGGACATGCTTATTGGGGTCTTTTTACGGTATTCAGCATTGGGCGAAGGGAGGGGGGTTACACAGTTTGTGAGGAAGGGGGCGAAGGGCGAGGGGCGAGGGGGGGAACGTACACCAGCCGGGATCTCCCAGTGCTGATATCTCAGCGTCTCGTGCGGGGCAATGCGCGGCAGTCGGGTCGTCACGACCGAGGAGAGACGGAGGCCTTCTTTTATTGTTGCGCTCTGGGCACGGGATCAGTTTTTTTTTGATTGCAGGGAGGGATCGGGGGGGGAAGGGGTTACAAGGAAGGGCAGTTGTTCTAGGGTCTCCAACGGAGGTATGCAGCGCACGTCTGGGATGTTGGCGAGTAACTCGGCTTTGAGTCTCTCGTGGGCTTCTCGGTTGTCGAGGATGTGGAACATGGTGATGGCTAGGGCTTGGGAGGGCGCGTCGGTGCCGGCCATCATGAGGAAGATGGCGTCGTCTTCGAGACGGGGCGAGTCCTTTTCGCGGGGAGGCACGGATGGGTCGGCGAGGATGCTGGGGTAGATTGGTGATGTTGGGTCTTTGGGGCTGTCTGTTTTCGAGAGAGAGAGGGTGGATGTTTGGGTTTGGTGTTGATGGATTGCGTGGCGTACGAAGCTTCTCACGTCCTGACATTTGTTAATCTTGTTTCATCACAGGGGCTAGTGCTATACATCTCCCAAAAGGCTCACCTGCTCCATGCCCATGATATACGCAAACGGCGGACAGAACCGCTCCGCCATGGCGGGCCACCGCCGCGCCAGCACGACCAAGAACGGCAGATGGCGGTTCACGCGACAGAACTCGAACATCCAGTTGATGCGCAGCTTCCACGTGTTGGACAGCTCCGGCTGTTCGAGGTAGTGGAATCCCTGCTGGCGGCCGAAGCAGTACTGCGAGAGCGTGTCCGAGGTGAAGCACTGGAACGCCGTGTGCAGCTCCAGACACCCCGGCGTGTCGACCAGGGCCGCGAAGTGCTTCTCCAGCAGCGCGATGTTGGCGCGGATCGCCGGCTCGAGCCGCAGGATCGCATTCTTCTTGAAGAACTGGCCCAGCACCCGGCGGCGGTCGCGGTGCAGCGCATGGTCCTCCGTCGAGAAAATGGACTGCGGGAAGGCGATGAAGCTGAAGCCGGCTTCCTTGTTGCGGTGCGTGCCCGGGCCGGAGTACAGCGTCGCGTAGTAGTCCGGGTCCCGGATGTGCAGCTCGTCCGGCTTGATGCGGATGATCGGGCCGTACTGGTCGTGCAGCCGGTTGATTTGCCAGGTGAAGATGCCGCCCTTGATGAGTTGATAGTACACTTCGTACAGGCCGGTGGCTGCGGCGAGACGCGGGCCGGGGAAGCGTGCTAATGGGCTGAGATACAGGCGGTAGAAGATGAGTGCGGCGGCGTAGACGAGTCCAACGAGGGAGAGGTCGAGCAGGATTGTCCCTATCATGCTGAATTCCATGCTGTTCAGGTCGCTGTCCTGTATGACGCTTTTCAAGAGGTAGGAATAAGAGACAAGAGCAAGCAATGGGGGTTTAGGGTTAGAGAGCATGACTGTTATACCATAGTCAAGGAAAGACACCATCGGTACATTTCATTGGCACACAGATTCCACGGAAGGCCTCTGCAGCCGAAGGACAATCCTGGTTCATGATCCTCGCATTCATATGATACTATCCCATTTCGATGAGGATATCGAGGCCAAGACTGCATGATATCAGCGTGTATACCTCTGGACGGTAGAAGGTATGACGAAAACGGCTCTTTACTGATTGGGAGGGATTCGAGCCCTATGCCTCTCAGAACGTGTAACGACGCAAATGATCATGCTCGTACAGTATAAGATGCGTGATCATTGAGGAACCGGAGGTAGGAATGACCGAGGCTGCTGGTGCCCGCTCAGTGAGCAAACAGAGTGTACGTCCTGGCTGCAGAGAGCTGTCTTTGATTACGAGTGTCGAGGAAGGACTGTATACGCGGGGGCACACCAACTAGATTATTTCAATCAAGTGATACTCGTCGCGGCGGAAAGCACATAGCACGACCGGATAGCAAACAGTCGGTATGATTAACATGTCATAAGGTCGAATGGGAAAAGCACATTGTGATTGCAGGGAATATAAGATAAACATCGAAGTACTGAACATCGAGAAAGATGCCCCGGGTCATTTTACAGGGTCAATCCATTCTCCTTTTTTTGTATCGTGGCAAAACTTGGTCTCGCTTGTCCTGTTTTGTGGTTTGCCTTGCAGATTCCATACCGCGTGCGATGTGCTGATGACTGCCGACCAACCGATCTTTCCCCGTCCCATATCGGAATTAGGAATAAAGCAGAAAGAGAGGGATTGTGTAGGGGTGTGGTAGAAAGAGAATAAGTATAAAAAGATTCGATCCAAGGAGAAGGGTACAATTAGTTAATCCGATATACAACCAGCCAATGACAAGACTCGTAAAGGGTATCAAAAAGACCAAGGAAGATCAGATCAGAGATCTCAGCAACGCGCGAATACACGTTGGGATCAGCAACGCGGACGCTTTCGTCCAACATACTGAGCCTTCCTTCCTGGGTTAGACGCTCTTGGGCGATTTGGTCGGAGACTCGGCTGGTTGCTCGACCACGTCTGACAATCGCATTCTCTTGGCTAAAGGTTCACCCGGACTGTCGCTGTTCGTGATGTTGTTGAGAGTACTCTTGTCAGCTAGCTGCCGCTCAAGGTCGGCAACCCGCTGTTTGAGATCGTCCTCGCGTCGCTGGGCCTCTTCCAGAGACCGTCGCAGCCGGACTTCCGAGTCGCGCACAATCATTTCGGACCGGCGAGCCGTCGCATCGCTTCGCTCGAGCTCCGCGACGCGACCGCGGAAGAGTTCGTTGATAAACTCCAATTCGCTCACGCGCGTCTTCAGGGATGTATTCGCCGCCAAGAGACCTTCATAAGTCTGGGGAGACTCGGGGTGACGGTCGCCAGTCGCGGACGTCGAGGTCGGGGAAGGCTGGCGCAGCTGCACCGACGGCATTGAACTTGGCGGATTCATGCCATGGTCACCAATGGTCACACTGTCGAACATGTGTTGCGGTGCGATATTGGAGTTGTGCAGCGATTGGGTGTGTTGTTGTTGCACCTGAGGGAGACCAGGAGTTTCCGTGCGCGGCACCGGCGAGTTGGATCGGTCGGAGTGGCCCGGAGACGTCTTTCGCGACGCGCGACGATTGCCATGCGATCCCAGAGGCGGAGTCCCTGCTTCGGATCGGGAGGCAGAGAGGCCATTGGTATCGATGGTACCGCCCGACTGTGGAGGAAGATAGACAAGAAGGGTTAGCAACCGGGTACTGGGAAGAGACGTCACGGATAAGAAAAATTTTCGAGTCGAGTACTCACCTTGCGCTTGGTACCCTGACCGGCGGTCTTGACGCGGTTGCGACTTTTGATCACATCGGTCTTGAGGCTTATCGGACGAGGCCTCCCATGTAGTTTCAAGAAGAGACCACAGGCGTTGCAGAGCACGGAGCCGAGTTCGTCACGGCGCCAGAGGGGGGTGGTGGAGGTGCCGCAATTCTGGCACACGGGCTGTAATTGAGGACGTTTTTGATCAGCCAACGTGGTCGCCATGGTCTTTTCAGCAGCAAACGGGGCGGTAGAGGAAGGCAGAGGATGGGGAAGATGAGGAGACGGCGCTGATAGTGGATGGAGTGAGGAAGAGCGCTGGGTTGATAAGATCGGGAGAGATTTGATGGGTTGGAGCGATAAGGCATTGGTGGTGCGGCGCCAAGACCCAGCGGCTGCTGATAACAGCAAAAGATTGGGTGCGAAAAAGAAACGAGGGGATTCCGGCTCAAAAGGTCAAAAGGGGAAAAAATTCCTCAGCTGGCACTACTAGAGTAGTAGTCCGTAGATAAGGACTTCCCCCTCCCCAGTTGCGATAAGCCCCAAAAGCTCCATCCATCCAATTTATTACTTACAGGGTTATTGCCTTGTCCACCAGTGGTGGCCGCTGGGGATGATGTCGCGTAGGTCATATTGGCCATTCCGTGATTTGCATTGCTACTCGACGCTCTGAACACGTAAGATTCGTCAGTAAAGACCGTGCTTACCACGCGATCAAGTCGATGGCCTCCACCCGTAGTTATCAAACAGCCGCCACGGACTTGTCCCACAAACCAATATCTTCGTAATTTCACCTGGCGAGGAGAGGCTGCAAGAATACGTACCGCAGATTGGAAGTGGGCGCCGATGCGACCGAGGCCAGAGCTGACAACCCAGGCAAAGAGGGACCGAGCGAGCTGGGGAACGCGCTACCGTTACTGCTGCTACTGCCGGGACTATGGGTGAATTTGTCCAGCGAGCTGAGGTCCGGAATGGCTCCCGAGTACTGCGAGGATGCGGACGAGGCTCCAGTCACAGTATCAGTTGTGGATTGACGCGAATCCAATTGACTCTCCCCGGAGGACGAGCCTGGATTGTAAGCGGGTTCGTGGGACTGGGGATTAGACGGCGATGGGGGTCGGAGGGCTGGGTCGATGGGCGACGCCCGGAATAGGAGTGAAGCCACCGTGGAGGATGTCGTTGAGGATTGACTATAAATCCGGCCTCAATTGACCGAATTGAGAATCAATATAAGCGGTTTCGCGTCGAGAACTCCGAGGGTTGTTGTATGGAGGAGGGAAGATTCGCGCTGCTCGGGAAGAGGACCAGCCACGGAAAAAAAGGGAGGATTGATCTGGAATGTCTTCCTGCGATTTCCCACGAGCCAAATGCAAGCGTTCAAGGAAGCGATGTGAGAATCTTTTCTTCCCGCGTGTTCTGGGTTTTATCGCAACCGAGTTGGACTGGCAAAGGACAAGGCAGATATAACGGATAAGGAGCGAAAGATCTCAGCGAGGCTGTCCGTAAGACAAGACGAAGAGACTCGACCCGAAGAACAAGTGAAATGAGTGACGGAGCAGAGAACAAGGCGTTGAAGAGACCATCAATTGAATTGCCTGAGAGGCCTGCAAAGTGGTCATCCGGGGAAAACGCGAAGACGAATGGGGGAGGGAGGAGTGGTGAAGGTGAGATTGGAGGAAGCGTGACGGGGTGGTCGGGGGTGGAACGAGATTGATTGATTAACTTATCGCGCGCGCAGGCTGGGCCGGAGAGGCTACAGTTACTATTAGGGAACTTATCGATTGTTCCATGCCCTTGTACGGCGGCTGGGGCTGGACCCATGAGTTATTGGCTATTACGGACCACTTTCTTTTGTCTTCTCAGCGTTTTTCTTTTCTTGTTTTGGGCTGGTAGGTGATGCCGTCATCGAAGTGAAGTTAACTATATACTTGCGTATACATGTCCGTAGTAAACGAGACAAGTACACAGTACACTGCAGACAATACCCACCGAACAATTAATTTGTTCTCTCCGACATGGTTGTTTGTCCGCATGTCTCCTCCCTTATCTACGGAGTACACTCAAAACGATTATCGATTAACCAAGTTACTCGGTACTAGACCCGGAATGAGTCCTGGCAATGTTGTTGCCGTGCCCCTGCATGCCCCTTTGATATCCATTTGGTTCCATCTGGTCCTTCGGTTCTTTACTCGGAAAGGAAGCTTTTAGGGGTTATGTACCGAGTACCCTAAGATCGATCGCTTCTTCTTGGAATTGGGGCTCGAGTGAAACCGGTTTCCCGCACGGGGTCGAACAATTAATCGGCCACGATGACCAACCGTTTGCTCGCCGAGACAGCCATCGATCAATGGAGCTGTGGCTATTACGGAGTACGTATTTGTATGGAGTATAAGATATTCCTACTGAGTACTGAGTGAGACTGTGCCTCCGTTCTCTGCTTGACAGTCGTAACTGAGTATCTCTGCTTCACCACGTGGATTGAACATGTATGGCTCACAGCAACTGTAAATGATTGCCCCAGACTTCTAGGCCCTCGTCTCTTCTGCTCATCATTCAGGGGTTTTGTCGATGTTCATAAAGCTTGGGTGGAGCCCGCGCTTTCGGAGGAGCTGCCGTGGCGGTGTCGTATCGTATCGTCAGACATGTGGCGGCACAGGACCCTGTACGGTCCATCGTCCAATTAAAAGACAGCGCTGAGGCACCGGAGATGGTATCAATACAGTTCTGCCAGATAAAACAGGCGAGGCAAGCCACAGCCGTATCGGAACAGCAGAAGATGACAGCGTGAATGTCCAGTCCCTCGCCCGCTCCGTCTCCTCCACCTAGTCCAGTCCTACTTTACTCAACTAACTTAACCTCCACCCTCCACCCATTTCCACCCGCCCAGTTTCATTTGCGTTTCTGTTGCGGTCGGTCGTCAGTAATGCCTTGAGTCTCTTTCGGCTAAACTCATCGTATTAATTGTTCCCTTTCTCTTCGTTCATTCTATGCCCCATTCCCTCAATTCCTTCCCTTCGTGCTCCCTTTCATATGAACTGAATGTTGGTTGCCTCCCGGCCCTTGCAGTCCTAAACCAGTCGCCCTGCCACCATGCCCAAGAATCGACCCGCAACTTCGGGGTATGCCCGCTTGGCGCAGGAAGAAGAAGACCGAGCCCACGATCCATACGAATACTCAGACGATGACGACCTACAACACGACTCCCACACCATCTCCCAATCCGCACCACGATATGCACCGATCTCCGCACGAACCGGCCTGACCTCGCCCCCCGAACCGCGACGGAGGCTGAGTGGGCAGTATCACCGACGGGGACGGAGGAACTCGGGGGTGGACATTAAAGCCATCAATGCGCGCCTCGAGCGGTGGGCCGAAGAATTCGCTTCCAAATTCAAGATCAATCGAGTCAAGGGAAAGACACTCGAGGAGGAGAAGCTAGAGATCTACCACTCAGTCTTCCAGGCGCCCGATGGGGTTCGACCTGTCACTGCGGAGGTTCTCGAGTCAGACGAGGTCGAAGGTGCTGCGCGGAGAGCTCGAGAGGAGTTCGAAGAGGTGGTGGAGAGTGTCCGGATCGCCATTGAGATGGGGGTCCATCCCCGAATGATCTCCCAGGGTAGTTCGGGTAGTTATTTCGCACGGAACAGCGAGGGTAAGGTGGTGGGAGTCTTCAAGCCCAAGGATGAAGAACCCTATGCATCTCGCAACCCAAAATGGACCAAATGGATTCACCGCAACCTGTTCCCATGCTTCTTCGGTCGAGCTTGTCTCATTCCCAACCTATCCTATGTCTCCGAAGCGGCAGCATATGTTCTCGACTCTCGGCTGCAAACCAATCTCGTTCCTTATACCGATATTGTCTGGCTGTCCTCGAAGTCCTTTTTCTACGACTTTTGGGACCGCAGAAAAGCTTGGATGGGCAAGAAGTCCCTCCCGCCCAAGGCCGGTAGTTTCCAGGTCTTCCTCAAAGGCTACAAGGATGCAAACCTCTTCCTGCGCGACCATCCTTGGCCCGATCAAACCAATACCGGGTTCAGAGCAGAAGATGCTCCCAAGCGAAAGAAGCGTCCGTGGAATGAAGCATGTCGCCCTTCTGGAATACACTCGGACGATGAAGACGAAGAAGCATACCACGACGGTCAGACGCAAACTCCGTCGCCGCGTGAGGAAAGCAGAGAGCGGCGGTTCTACTGGACGGAAAGCCTGAAGCAGTCGTTCAGGGAAGAGCTAGAGAAGCTCGTGATCCTGGACTACATCATGCGCAACACGGACCGAGGTCTCGACAATTGGATGATTAAGATTGATTGGAAAACCGAGGAAGTCTCCATTGTCGCTGATCCGCCGAAACCCAATGGCGCGCAGCAGCAGCGGCAAGAAAATGATGACGACGACTTGCCCCCTGCGCGCCCGGTAGCAGTCAATTCCGACGGAGCGACAACTGCGCCTCATCCCTACCGGAGACATGAGTCCATGCTTGCCGTGAGTCGCACAGGGACTCCCTTGAACGCAACCGAACCTTATGCAACCATCCAAATTGGTGCCATTGATAACAGTCTCTCGTGGCCATGGAAACATCCCGATGCGGTAAGTTGAATGACGAAATTACAATCTGCATGGCTCGTGCTAATATCTCTCAGTGGCGGAGTTTCCCATTCGGCTGGTTGTTTCTGCCCGTATCTTTGATCGGCCAACCATTTTCGCAGAAGACCCGTGACCATTTTCTACCGCTTCTAACCTCTACTGCCTGGTGGAGCGGCACACAGATGGCTTTGCGCCGTGTTTTCTCACAAGATGATGATTTCAAGGAGAGCATGTTTGCGAGACAGATTGCAGTCATGAAAGGCCAGGCATGGAATGTGGTGGAGACACTGAAGCATCCCGACCATGGCCCACTTGAATTGACGAGAAGAACACGCGTCTGTGTCTGGGATGATCTTGTGGATGTGCCAGTTGCTATCCCCCTCCGCGGCCCCTCCACGGAGGCTCAGAGACGCAAAGTGAAGAGCTACGAAAATTACGACAAACCTAGCACGTATGATCCCGATAACGAGGAAATGGATATTGGTGCCTCGATGTCCTTGGGTACAGGTCCCGAGGCCGATCTGCTCGGACTCAGTTCCCCTCCGAATGAATTGCCAAACCCCAACCGGTTCGAACTATCCAGAGGCCGCGGTTCCGCGTCCGGCCATGGCAGGGCACTCTCGGGTAGCCCAGTCACCATGGATGACCGGTATGGCCGCGACAGTATTGACGAGCTGAGTCATGGTAGAGACTTGGAACGCAGCTGGGCCACGCTCCCACCTCGGCCAGGTCACCGACACCAGAAACACAGCTCCGTCTCCAGTAATCGCGGCCAAGCGCACCTGCTCTGGAGCAGCGACGATCTCGAAGGAGATCTCGGATATGCAGCCGCGGAGGGCATGGAAGGCAACCAACGTAAAGTGATTGTCGAGCGGCTGGAGGCCGTCAAAAGTAAGAATCCCGTGTTTACCTGGTGCTAAACACGGAATCTTCAACGCTTTTTCCGTTCCCCATTTCTCCGCTTTTCTCTTCTTCGTCTCCCCATTTAGCGTGTATCATGATAATCTGGCATGAGGAGTTCCTTTTCGATTTGCAAGGTATGGCTTTTGTTGGAAAACTTCATCTGATGGGTTAGTGTCATAGACAATGGAAGTTGATCTTCACGTGGGATATTGTGGGAGACCTAATCTTTATTCAGACTTACACTCGGTATATAATTCTGCTTTGAGTACATATAGTTATGAATAGTTGCGAGACAAAAGGGATCAAGAATAGAATCAATGCTTTTTTGCCTTGCTTTCAAGATCGAGGAGTGGGCTTGAATAACAATGAAAGAAAGACCGAGGACTTAGAGTCGGAGAATAAACGGAGGATGAGGGGCGGGGAGGCCAAGACGGAGAGGAGAGACTGGGTTGGAGAAGCAAGACAAACGGCAGATCGAAGGCTGAGCGTGTGAAGGGATCTTTCTCTTTGGATCATGTCTTTGTGAGCCCCGGCCATCAATAGTAGCCATATGCATACAGTACGTACATGACTCGTGACTCGCCCGCAATCTTATCTATCGCTAACTTCTTGGCATCGTCTCCCCCGTCGTCACCATCGAGCGTTCAACCCTCCAAAATCTCCACCTCTCACATCTCTACCACGCTTGTCTTACTCCTCTCTTCTTCTACTTGTGGGCCTCGTGTCTTACCAGCTTACTTCGATATTATTACATTGACGCTGTGGCCTTCCCTCACTTGTCCCTCGTTTCGCCGCCAACGGACTCCCACCCTCCGGAGTGTATGCTCAGCCTGACCACTAGCGACAGACCATCCTTACTCGAGAACTGCTTCCTATCCCCATCGCTTGTCTATTCTGGACGATTTATGTCTTCACTACTTTCTCTCCGCCAGTTTCCCTGTTTGCGATCTTGAGACCGTCTCTCCCGGATCTCCCTCCCGCCCGCGCGCGTGTCTCGCTCTCGCCGCCTGCAGCTGAAGGAGACTTGTCCCATCTGACAAACATCTGACAATCATGGCTTCCTCCGACGCCGCCCTGTTGTTGAACCCACGGGCGCACAGAAAACAACTACAGAACAAGAATGGTAAAGCCTCCCTGGAGCCCGAGCTCGAGCCCGCATCATCCTCCTCTCACCAGGACCCCACTTCATCCTCCCCCGACGTCGCTGGTTCCCCGCACGACGAAGAAGGACCTCTGTCTTCGCTCCTCTTTTCGACGTTGCATTGCCCCTCGTCCCCTTCCCTTGGAAGTAACACTCTTGGACCAGACACGGAAGACTCATCGTTTCCAGGATCCTCGACGAACCCACCGGACTCTTCCTCCACACCCGCCTCGCAGCGCAGTCCTGCCTCGTCCGTGGCGCCGCCGGGTACCGCCTCGGCCGCACATCTACTCCTCAACAGCCCGCGCCGGCGCCAGCAGAGAAGGGGCGCCTCAAGAACGAACTCCCTCCCGAACTCGAATATGACATCACGGTCTGGGACGCGAACCCCTTCGCTGGCGGGGGATGCGACGAGCGCTTTGGCGCAGGTACATCAGGCTGCGCCTACAATCGATGTTGAGTTTGCGAGCGCGAGCTCGGACTTTGAAGGCGACGATCGCACGAGCATCAAACGCAGCTCCGAGCACCTCGACGATGACGGCCCTGATGCGCGTCATGGGAGTTTCATAGAGAATATGTACGGGGTGGAAAGACGTGCGAGTCAGCCGATCAAGAGGGTAAAGGTAGAGAAGGATCAAGAAATGAAGGCTGGGCAAAGTACAAACTTCTCCGGGACTGGAAACTCGGAACTCGGCGGATGGATGAAGGAAGGGCGGGACCAGGCGGATTCGTCCTCGTCCACCGGGAATGTCGTGGACTTGACTACAGGTATGGGACGTCTGAAACTCAGTTGGGAGCCCTGTATTGACCGGCTAACTCCTTGCGGTAGATGTATCAGCTGCAGCCACCGACGACGATGACATACAGGTCACTGGGTCTAATGATCTCAGTCTACAGAGGGTATGTTATGGGAAGATTGAGGGGGCGACGGTGCAAGCGCAGTTGGTCCCGAAGCCTTCGACCCACTCTCTTTTCGCAGACTCAACGCACGACTGGCCGTCAATGAAACTCGGGGTGCATCGGCAAACGCGCGGGAACAACCGCATTGAAGTTTCTGACCCAAATGGGAAGATCTTTGGTGTGATTGATGCCAGAACAGCAGCCGTCATTGCACCGTTACTGGATTCGCCTGCCGTGAAGGTGGACCTGACTGCGCGGCTGGATTTTCGACGGCGGAAGGAGGGCGAATGGCCATGGGTACCATGTTCCGAGACCTACCGGGCGTCTATCAATCTATACGGCCTCAGGAAAGATGCTACGCTGGTCGGCAAGCACCTCGGCCAGCATAATGTATGGCTTACGTCTCCAGTTGCGGTGGAACAGGGTGTGCCGACACTTAATCCACACGCTGAGATGCGGAGGGCTCAGGCTGCGTTTTTGCCGTCCGTGGCCGCCAGGGGTCGCGTAGGGGTCAACTATGAGGTGCGAACCGCTGAGGAAGTCAACGATGCAGTGATGAAAATGTTCGACCAGCTCCAGAGCAATGATAATCTGCCTGAAATGGAGCCCCCTTCTGGGCTGCGCACATCTTTGCTTCGTCATCAGAAGCAAGCACTCTGGTTCATGACTGAAAAGGAAAAGCCGCGCAGATTCGGTCCTAACGAAGCAGACAACAACTCGCTATGGCGAAGGGATTACCGGTCCGGCGGCAGGAGGAAATACCGCGAAATCATCAGTGGCACGGTGCTCGACGAGGAGCCCCCGCAAAGCTTAGGTGGACTGTTGGCAGATATGATGGGCCTTGGCAAGACGTTGAGTATTCTCTCGCTGGTTCTGACTTCGTTGGAAGAGTCTACCAAATGGGTGAAACAGGTTCCAGATCCCGCGCTGGTCAAGAGCCTCCCTGGCATCCGCAATACTAAGACTACGCTGCTGGTGGCGCCTCTCAGCGCGGTTAACAACTGGGTGGCGCAGATCAAGGAGCATCTCGAAGAGGACGCAATCTCATACTACGTCTTCCATGGCTCGTCTCGGACCAACGATGTGGAAGAACTGTCCAAATATGATCTTGTCATCACGACGTACAGCATCGTCCTCAGCGAATTATCGGGGAGGGGGGCGAAACGGGGGGTGAGTCCGTTGACCAAGATGAACATGTTCCGAATCGTTCTGGACGAAGCCCATACCATCCGCGAACAGAGCGCAGCCCAGACTCAGGCCATCCTCAGACTGAACTCGCAGCGCCGCTGGTCCGTGACCGGCACACCCATCCAAAATCGTCTGGAGGATCTGCTCTCCGTGACGAAATTCCTCGGTCTTTACCCTTACGACGACCGGGGTCGCTTTGGCATGTACATCCTAAGTCGCTTCAAGACAGGCGATGCGACCGTGCTAGCCAGTTTGCGAGTGCTTGTGGATTCGTTCACGCTGCGTCGAGTCAAGGACAAGATCGATCTGCCTCCGCGACAGGATATGATCGTCATGCTGAACTTCACCGAAAAGGAACGCCAGCTCCACGAGTTCTTCCGCAGGGAGTCGAATGTGATGATGCGGGTGATTGCCGGCGAAGAGAAATCGAAGATGAAAGGGCGAATGTACCACCACATTCTCAAGGCCATGATGATCCTGCGCCAAGTCAGCGCCCACGGCAAGGAGCTTTTGGATCCGGACGACCGCAAGCGGATCAAGGGACTGAGTGTGCAGGATGCGATCGACCTGGAAGAGGGAGCGGGCGGCGATAGCAGCGGCGCAACCGACAAGAAGTCCTACGAGATGTTCACACTCATGCAGGAGTCGTCGGCCGACACCTGTGCCACGTGCGGCAAGCGGCTCGAGGAGCCCAGTGCTGACAACGGCGCGGTCGACCGCCAAGCGGCCGTGGCCATTGTGCTTCCCTGCTTCGACGTGCTCTGCCCGGACTGCTTCTCCGGGTGGACCCAGGCGTTCGAGCAAGCGCAGATGAGCCACTCCCCGAACCTTCGGTGCCAGGTCTGCGACGGCTGGATCCCGGCCTCGTACTCCATCATCACCGTGGGCGGGCTCCAAGACTACCTGGGGGACCAGGCGCGGGCGAAACAGAGCCGCAAACACGTGAAGCAGATGGGCGAGTACGAAGGCCCGCACACCAAGACCAACGCGCTGGTGGCACAGCTGCTCGCCACGGCGGAGGAGAGCCAGAACCAGAACCAGAGCCAGGGCGAGTCGCAGCGGCCGTACAAGAGCGTGGTGTTCTCGGCGTGGACGTCGCACCTGGACCTGATCGAGATCGCACTGCGCGACAACGGGCTGCCGGGGTTCACGCGGCTGGACGGGACGATGACGCTGGCGGCGCGCAACAAGGCGCTCGAGGAGTTTCAGCACAACGACGCGATCACGGTGCTGCTGGCGACGATTGGGGCGGGCGGCGTGGGGCTGAATTTGACCTCGGCGTCCAAGGTGTACATCATGGAGCCGCAGTACAACCCGGCGGCGGTGGCGCAGGCGGTCGACCGCGTGCACCGCATCGGCCAGACGCGGCCGGTGACGACGGTGCAGTTCATCATGGCGGACAGCATCGAGGAGAAGATCTTTGAGCTGGCCAAGAAGAAGCAGCAGCTGGCGGATCTGAGCATGAACCGGGGGAAGTTGGATAAGCGGGAGGTGCAGGAGCAGCGGATGCGCGAATACCGGAGTTTATTCAAGTGACTTTTTTTGTTGTTTTCTCGTTCTATACCCGGTGGTTTGGATGGTTCAGGGAAGGGAAGGGTGTCATTAACTGGCGTTGTTCTTTTTTGTTTCTTACTGGGTTATTAATTTTGGCGTGCGCATCAAGGAGGACAGACAGACTTCCAGCACGATATACACGGGCACAAAAAGAGAGAGAGAGAGAGAGAGAGAGAGAGCGAGAAAGACAACAAGCCTACACAGCACCGACGAACATCGACGAAGGAAGACAGACATATAGAAGGCATGGTCAACGTCTTCGTTTTTGCTTTTACTTTTGCTTGCTTGAACGAAAGACACAGCACCTAGATCTGCAATCCAGTACCTAATAACTTCCATAATCAGTTGAATTCATCATTAAATCCGATGCATGCACCCGCTAATCAACCAGTGCTTCCTTCCTCTGAACAACCACCTCCTCCCATCCCCATCCCCACCCCCGTCTATCCTTCTTACTCCGTGTAAGAAACTTAAACCTCCCGCTCCCCATATATCCCCACCTCCATCGCCCCCAACACCCCCTCCAACCGCCCCCTCAACGCCTTGAGCTGCAGCATCCTCTCCCCCCTCACCCCCTCCCACCGCCTCAACTCCCCCTCCAGCTCCCGGATGCGGTGCTCCTGCTCCGCCTCACTCGACCCAATCCCCGGCAGCACACTAATCAAATACTCGATCTGCTGCTCCTTGAGCACCAGATCCCGGGCCAGCTCGCGCTGCCGCGCCGCGAACGTCCGGGGCGAGTCGGGCGCCGGCGGGAGGGCGGGGTCTTGGGCTGTGCCTGTTGTTGTGTCTTCCGCGCCGGCCGCGCCTGGTTGTGCTGGTTGTGGAATCTCGGCGGGTGTTTGTTGTTGGGTTTGGTTGCTCTGCTGCTGGGCGGCGAGGGGCGCGCTGGCGGGGACCGGGGGCGCGGAGGAGTTCTTGGGGATTTTGGCGAGCGCGGGCGCGGCGGGCGCGGTTTGGGCTTGGGTTGGTGGGGGCACGGTGGCGGGGCTGTTATCGTGGTAGGTTGTTAGGTAGCCTAGGGTTGCGTAGAATTGGGTTGCTAGCTTTTTGGGGGGGATTGTTAGTTGGGTGGGTGGGTTGGGGTTGCTGGGGGATAGGATGGGGACGCACTTGGTCGAGGCAGGTTTGGAGTTGGGTTAGGATGTCGGCCATCTTGGATTCTTCTTTTTTATATTGTATGGTGGTGGTGTGGTGAGGTGGAGAAAATTGATTCAAGTAGGTAAGAGGGAGAGCCGGAGTAAGAGATGGTGGAAGAGTATGTATGTATGGGAAGAGTAGAGGAAGCTCGCTCAAGGTGGAGAGAAGTCGGCAAGGTAGAGAGAGAGGATCAGATGCAAATCGCGATAAGATTAGAGATTGTCTGTCGGCCTTTTCTCCGCTCCGCTCTTCCTCCCTCCCTCACACACCACTTTTTCCCCCAATAATCACCACGCAACCAAACCTCCCTCCTTAAACACCGCGTTACCACGTCACCACTACCGATCACAAATCAGCTCACACGCATTCCGTTACCCAATACCGAGGAACCAACAACTATGCACCCGCCCCCCGCACCACCCGCAAAATGACCTCCTCGCTCTCCTTCTTCACGCGGCGGGTCTACCAGCTGCCCGTGCCCCCGATCTCGAAACACAAGCACTACAACCGCGCGAGCTTCATCGACTTTGCGCGGCGGCACGAGCTCTCGCGGACCTCGACGCTCTTCATCGGCAACCTGTACGAATACACCGTGCAAACGGAACTGCGGCACGCGGCCGCGCTGCTGCTGCACCGCACCGGCGGCCGCAGCGACAACGGCATCGACCACCTGGGCACCTGGCACCTGCCGGGCCACGAGCAGCCGATCCACGTCGCCGTGCAGTGCAAGGCGCACCGGCGGCGCGTGGGGCCGCAGTGCATCCGCGAGCTGGAGGGGGTGATCGCGCGGCGGGTGCCGCACACCTGGCGGCTGGAGCAGCCGAGACCGGGGCAGGCGCTGGCGGGCCCGCGCGTCGGGATGCTGGTCAACCGGCGCGAGGCGTCGGCCGGGGTGCGCGCGGCGCTGCAGCGGAGCGCGCTGCCGCTCGTGTATCTGATGGTGGATCTGCGGGGCGTGTTGCGGCAGGCGCTGTGGAACGAGGCGGTCGAGGCGCTGGGCGTCGCGCCGTTGGGCGTGGAGGTCGTCCACGGGCCGGAGCGCCAGCTCGCCTCGGAGCTGGCGGAGCTGGAGGCCGAGGGCGGGCTGGCGCTGTGGGAGGAGGAGCTCCGCGACAAGCTGCCCTCCGAGCTGCGCGCGAAGCCCTACCCGCCGCCGATCCGGTTGACTTGGGACCAGGCCCAGGGCCAAGGCGGGGCGCGGCCGCTGCCGGGCATGGATCAGATCGAGGCGCGCATGCTGCAGCAGGAGGAGAAGTGGTGGGCGCTCTGGAATCTGGCGCCCGATGATCAGGAGACCCGCTACGAGGCGCTGTCGGTCATTCAGAGCCGGTTCCCCGAGGAGAAACCGCTGCTCTGGGCCAAGGGCGGCGTGCCGAGTTTGCTGTCGGAGCGAGATCGCGAGGGTCTGCTGCGCGAGTTGAAGATGATGGGGCTGAGTGAGGGGGTGGTGGTGGAGGGAAAGTCGGAGGCAGAAGAGTCACAATCGACGCTTAATCCTACGTGATAGGAGGATATATACACCAGAAAGAAAGGTAGATTCGATTCAGCAGAGGCGGAGGGGGTATAATCAATCATGTAAGATACAGTAAGAGACGCCGAGGAAACCAACCCAACACCATATAAACCAGCGAAACGCCATCCCGAAGAGGTAGCACTCTCTACCCCTGCAAGGTCGACCAGAAATAATTCGAGTAGAAGAACCGCGAGAATTTCGGATCAATGTTGACAACATGGACGTCGCCCTTGCGACTATTCCGGATCACGGCTTTATTGAAGTTGCCCGTCTCGTCCGCTTCGATATCGACACCCAGGGATCGGTAGATTTTGAGTCGAAGACTGTGTATGTCGTTATCAGCATAACCACTCACTCCCTTATTCGCCCCCTTCGAATTCTTCAGCCCACAGTAATCAGGGAAGAACTTACAGCGTCGCATCATCCATCTCCCGCTCGCGACGCGTGGGCTCATCCCCCTCGACGCCCTGCGCCTCCAGATCCGCCAGCCGCTCGCGGAGCATCTCCAGTTCCCCCTCGAGCCGCTCGCTCTCGATCTCCAGCTCGGTGGCGCTCTTGGCAATGCGGAACTTCTTGGTGTCGAGCTCGACCATCTCGGCGGCGTGCTGGCCGGCGTCGTGCGCGGCCACGGCTTCTTCCTGTTGGTTGTTCAAGGCGGACAGGTGGCGCGAGAGCTTGCGGAGGGCGGACTCGGCCTCGCGCATGCGCAGCTCGCGCGACTGCTGCAGCGTGGCGAGCGAGTCATTGATGCGCGTGACGGCTTGTTTGTCGGGTTGGATGTTGAAGTTGCCGATTGTGTGGTGGATGAGCTGGCGGGGGATTAGTTGAGAGGTTTTTTTGGGGGGGTGATTGGGGTTGAAGTACAGTGGCGGGGTTTTCGTCGAGTAACATTTTCGGTATGGTATTGCGTGGTGATTCTTTTGGCTTGGTGGTGGTGGTGATGTTATTGATAGTGATGCGGTTGGGGAGTGTAAGTTGATAAGATGTAGGCAAGTTAATGTTTGTTGTTAGAGCAACGGCGCCACATCGTCCCGCCTACAGTTTCTGGAAGTTCCCCCGCCAAGCCACTTGTTAGGCGGCACCGCCACAAAACCTGACGACACTGGCTGGCGTCACGGGATGCCACTGGAGATGGAGCGAGACCGAGAGCAAGTCAAGTCGAGTTGAAACTGAGTTGCCTCCGCCAAAGATCACATCCCCCTTCACCATCCATCGGTCCTTGTGTTCTGCTTTTTACGCTTGGTATTTCCCCAAGAGCAGTAACATTAAACACAACCACGAAATCAGAAACCATGGGCTCCAACCTACCATGTAAGCTTTCCCATCGTCATCAAAACAAAAAAAAAGAAGCCATCTTCCCCGCAGACTTGACCTTATCTAACAACCAGCGTTTCTGATGCAGATGCCGCGGACGCAGAGAGGTATTGTCCTTTCCTCCATATTCGACCAAAACAATCCTTCCCCCGCATCCCGGACCCAAGCTAAACACTTCTCGATGACAATATAGCCCGCTCAAGCCGGCCGAACTCCAAGTCCTGCGCGCCCAGTACGAGAAAGAAGGCGACTACGTCGGCATCCAGACCAAGTTCAACCTCGCCTGGGTATGTGCCCCTCCCATACTTGTCTTGTCTATGACCGAAGCCCAATCCAACCCAACCCAGCAACCCACAGCATGCCTATCATCCCCACACCCCCCTCTTCTTCTTTCCCCCGGCTAATCACCCCGAAAATAGGGTCTCATCAAATCCTCCTCCCGCACCGACCAACAAGAAGGCGTGCGCCTCCTCTCCGAGATCTTCCGGGCCGCGCCCGAGCGCCGCCGCGAATGCCTCTACTACCTGGCGCTGGGCAACTACAAGCTGGGCAACTACGGCGAGGCGCGGCGCTACAACGACCTCCTCCTGGAAAAAGAGCCCGCCAACCTGCAAGCGGCCAGTCTGGGGTCCCTGATCGAGGAGAAGGTATCCAAGGAGGGACTCCTGGGGATTGCGATTGTGGGCGGGTTGGCGTTGGCGGCTGGCGTGGTGGGGGGCATTGTGTTGCGGGGGACGAAGAGGCGGTAATTTTCTTCTTTCCGTTGTTGCTGATTGACACTTGACTGAAAGGAATTCGGGCTGATTTCTTTTTTGTTGGGTGGGTGGTGAAGGTGGGGGAATGAGAGTAGTTGGTTTTGAGTTTGGATTTGGATTTTGTTGATGGGGTTCAGTGGGTTGGAGGGGTGGGTGGTGGTGATGTATATATGGTTGTTTGCTGGGAGGGGGAGGTTGTACGTCTTTGAGTGCCGCGATGAGGATGTGGGTTTGAGCCCTTCCTGCGGGATGGGATTGATTTGTTACTAGCTGAAGGTTTAGCATGATGGGCGTTGGGTACTGAATTTGATGGTTGTTGATATTGCTGTCACTTCTTGTTCGAAGTTGAAGATTGAATGAGTAGTAGTTGTTTATCTTGTGGTATGGTGAAGGCTTGCTGATAGCTACGGAGCTGTAGTGTTGATCCTTGGCTATTGCTTATGTGCATCAATTGTATTCCATCAATTCAAGGGCTGTTCTGGCGCTGTGGTGTATATAACGAGCTATAGGCAGGCGGATATGGGATATGCTTAAACTGACAGATGCACCATGACGAAATAGCCATGACAATGGTCAAGCAACCAGACCGTCAATGCAGTCGAACCGCAAGCCAGACAGTCAGCCACGGCAGCTACACTCAGGACCAAACCAGGAATGATGAACCACTAAATTTAAGCTCAAGTTAACGTCCCAGACCGAAATCAAACATCGCTCCAAACTCCATGCTGGCAACCAACAGAATAACGTGCAAAGACATCACCGCCAGGGCGATCACGAGATCATTGGGTCAACGTCCCCACTATTGGTCATTACAGTGTCGTTGGACGAGCCATTCTGGCTCGTGCCGGCATTACTGTTGTCGTGGGTACTGGACGTGCTGGAGTTACTGTCCCCTAACCCTAAACTCAGCTTGTCAGGAATGTCCTTCTTAGCCTCGCGGGCCTTGTTTTCCGCCCACGCGCGTAGCTTAACCAGGTTGCGCAGGCGCGCTTCTTTACAGTCACCCTGGGTTTGCAGGATGGCCTCGTTCACACGGTTGGCAATATCTTTACGGAGCTCGGGTTGTAGAAGGGGGGCAAGGGATGGAGAGAGATTATCGGACGGAAAGATCAGGAGCGCAAGGGTCCGTTCGAGATCTTCCAGGAATTGAGGGTTGGTGGGTGCCCGGGGAGCGAGCTGCGAGGTCGCAAACTCTAGTGCTGGGCTGATGTCTCCATCAGGAGTGGAAGTGCACGAGCGGATAAGCTCGACCAGCTGCAGACGCAACAGGGCAAAGTGCAGGGGAGGATTTTCATCCAATATCTGTTTCGGTGTAAGTTAGCGAGGATGCTCCCACAACCGAGATGTAGTACACATGATAGAAGTGACTTCGAATCATACAAAGTTCTTGATGATGATGAGTGTTTATCGACCAAATCCCGAAGGATTGTTCCGAGTGGTGCATGAAACTGATCTAATCATACGAAGGAGGGTGGGGTTGTGCAGTGAGAGGATGTTTCTTACCTGAGGGTTGAGCTCGTTGATCTTCTCAATGGCGGTTTGAATATTCCCGGCATGAATCGCAGTACGAATTTCAACTCTTTCTTGAATCGCCTCGATATCTGCTCTGGGTTGGATATTGGCCTCGAGCGCGAATTTCTTCGCCGCAGCGGGGTAGCCATTGGTGATGAGGTAGTCCATAACCAGATAATTGATATCACTTTCAACACAAGCGTGTTAGCACACGATCATAACCGGAAGATCACGAATAACAATGCGCGTTGACGAAGGTTCAGTGACACAAGTTAAATATTTTCTCCTCACATTGATTCAGAGAGATTCCCAACTTGATTTTCAAGATCATCATAAAAGCATCAAACGAAAAGGACAAAAAAGCGTCGGCAAGGTCAACTCACGTTTTGGACGGCTTCACCTCATCAACCTTCCGCTCAAACTGACGCCATGTCGGCGTTGCTGTTGGGGAAGAGGGAGACATCTGTTTCCCGTTAAAACCAAGCAACGACGCATGCACGACACATCAGGGCGCATACGTAGTTTGCTGAAGACATAACTGCAATTGGAGCAAGATCAACTTCCTTGGTACTGAGTCACCGGCGGTCTGTGAAGATGGAGAGCTTCGCAGGCGCGAGCCATGAGGTGACCTCTAAGAAAGGGGAGTGTGTGAAAGAAGAAGAGAAGAGAAGAGAAGCGGAGGAAGAAATCAGGCGGACAGAAATTAAGGAAATGCGGCGGGAGCTGTTAGGTCACGTGCAGCTGGCTAAGCCTAAAACCGCAAGCGAAGGTCACGGACCGAGGCTAACCTTAAAGAAGTCAAGCGGCGATCACTGGATGCTTTTGGTGCTTTTGGCAGTCTAAAGTATCGTGTATCGCCTGCCAATTCCCCTCTCCGTCTTATCGGGTCCCTCCCCCAAAGCCTTATCCTGAGACAATCAATCGGGGACTCTTATTTTTTTCTTCTTCCCTCCCCTCACTGTCTTCCCCCCACTCCCTTGTTATGAGTACCAGTGCCTCCTCTGAATTCATCTGATTCGTATCTTGGTCCGTCAATTCCTCGGGGAGGAATATCTAAATCATGCAGTCCATCTCACCGGTGTTTTCGTCTGCCACGGACAAGGATAAGAAGTACTCGCCACCATGGGCTGATTTGAGCATTATTGGTATTGCGGGCAGCTCAGGGTCTGGCAAGACTTCGGTGGCAATGGAGATTGTCAAGTCACTGAATCTGCCATGGGTGGTGATTCTCGTAATGGTACATCTCATCTATCAGTACCCGAATAGCTCGCCTATCGGTCTATCGGGGTTTCCATGTGTGCAATATGATTGGTTTCTGACGGTGCTGTGGTACAGGACTCCTTCTATAAAAGCTTAACTCCAGAGGAGCATGCCAGAGCCCATGCCAATGATTATGACTTCGACTGTCCCGAGTCGTTAGATTTCGATGTCTTGGTGCAGACCCTGCGGGATTTGAAGCAAGGGTACAGTGACCATCCTTGGTGTTATCATCAACATATACCACACTCCCTATGAAGCTGACCGGTCTGGTTCAAATCATTCAGAAAGAAGGCAGACATTCCTGTATATTCGTTTGCCAAACACCAACGTGAGCCCCAGACAACGACACTTTACTCCCCGCACGTGATCATCTTGGAGGGTATCTTGGCTTTGCATGACCCGCGCATCATGGAACTGTTGGATGTCAAGGTGGGCTGTCTTCGCTCTTCAGGTCGCATACACGCTTACCATTGTACAGATCTTCGTAGAGGCCGATATGGACATTTGTCTGGGACGCAGAAGTAAGCCCCTGCATCATTCACGTTCTTGTGCTGTGCAATGACTAAATCACCGCTAGTCATGCGTGATGTCCGTGAGCGCGGAAGAGACATCGAGGGAATCATCAAGCAGTGGTTCACCTATGTCAAGCCCTCTTACAAGAAATATGTCGAACCTCAACGAGCAGTATCAGGTGAGCTCAGAGATCCACTAATTGCTCTTGTCTTAGACTGACCAGTTTTTAGATCTCATCATCCCTCGTGGAATCGAGAACAGAACCGCTATCGGTAAGCCTAAGCCATGCCGTGCGCTGTCTCCAGACTAATTGCGCAGACATGGTTGTGAAACACATTCAAGGCAATCTGGAAGAGAAGTCCGAGAAGCACAGTGCAGAACTCACTCGTCTCGGTCTCCTTGCCTCGGAGGAGAAACTGTCTCCCAACGTTGTCGTCATGCATGAAACACCACAATTCATCGGCATGAACACGATCCTGCAAGATCCTGCAACAGAGCAGGTCGACTTTGTGTTCTACTTCGACCGCCTTGCTGCCCTACTGATCGAGAAGTAAGTGGGCATCTCCATCAACGCATAGAGGCAATCGACTAATTATCGAATCACTGTGACAGAGCCTTGGATGTGACCAACTATATCCCCAAGGAAGTGCATACTCCACACGACAACTCCTACCAAGGCTTGAATCAAGCCGGCACGGTTTCCGCCGTCGCCATCTTGCGGGGCGGATCCTGCCTCGAGACCGCCCTCAAGCGCACCATTCCCGACTGCATCACCGGTCGTGTACTTATCCAGACAAATGAAAAGAACGAAGAGCCAGAGCTCCACTACCTCAAGCTGCCTCCCGGGATTGAGGAGCACGAGAATGTCATGCTTCTGGACCCGCAAATGTCGAGCGGAGGTGCTGCCCTGATGGCCGTCCGCGTGCTGATCGACCACGGCGTGCGCGAAGAGCGGATTGTGTTCGTCACCTGTGCGGCCGGTAAGATTGGTCTCAAGCGACTCAGCGCCGTCTATCCCAATGTTCGGGTGGTTGTCGGGCGGATTGAAGAGGAACGCGAGCCGCGCTGGATCGAGAAGAGGTATTTCGGCTGCTGAAAGAACGGAAAAGTATATATCACCACTGAGAGGATCACTTTATTCGGCTTACCACCCATACATAATGTTCTATATATGTGCATAGTAGTACCAATAATGACGAGATACATGAGCATTGAGACGAACACGGAACGAATTCTGAAATTAGACTGACCTGGCCATCTCACACGGAACAGCATACTTACCAATTCACTGCCCGCTACTGCCCGCTACTGGCCCTAAACCCAAACTCTCCCTGAAGTGTATTACGCAGACGCTCGTCCTCGCCAGAGATAAGAACAACCACACCTTTCATTCTACAAACCTAGAACACCAGACAAGAAAACCTCGAAGCCCTAAGCCCGCTGTCCCATCGATTTATGCAGTGCTATTCCACATTTCATTAAGGGTGGGGTCGTCGTCGAAAATGGGATCCCGCGTGACTACCTTGACTGGGTGGGGCAAAGGAGACAGTACAAGTCGCGTCGCAGGCCACATTGTGACAATTCGTGGCTATCAGACGAATACTTGGTTCGAGAATTCGACTATGCATAAATACTGAGTGGTCATCGTTGGCTCTTTTTGCACTGGCCACTGGCGTCTTTACCACCGGCTATCATCCAGGCTCCCCTTAAGGCGGGCAATGAGGGGTTGAGAATCTCTATTTTGCGCGATATGCACGCGCCCAGTTGTACAACGAGCTCAGGTCATGTACAGAAGAGTCAATGTCTCGAAAGAGGGCTGTGACTGAGACCATCATGTGACCCCTTTTTGTCAGGGGACGCAGTACTCGAGCTCGCCCTTGGCAGAACCTCAGGCATCACTTTCATAGTTACATCGTCGCCAGTGATCTCTGGTCTGGTGGCTTGCCCTCCTGTGTCACACACATTTGCATACGAGCAAATCATTGAACCCCTTAGCGAGCCAAGAAAGCATAGTACGCGTACAGACAGCCTCCTCGAATCTTTCTGACTGTTCGAGATGCCGCAGATCCCAGGAAAGCACCATCACCCCCTTCGCAGCAGGCCGGTCGTGACAACCTCCCCCAGGGATGGCTCCAGTGACGATGTTTCCCGTCCTCCATTGGGAGGTGATGTAATGGCGATGAAGAAAATTAAAGCTTTTAGCCCCGATTGGGGTAGTCCGCGTGCTTGCGGGATGCTACCATCAATGCAAGGAGAAGTATAGAAGCCAGGGTTCAAGAATGCGCAACCTCCAAGGCTTCATTCTTTATAACCGATCAGTTGTACTTGCTTCTCGCACCAGCATCACCACCGGAACCATACTGAAATTTTCTCAGTAGCCCGCCTTGTTGATGTTTCGTCAGAAGATAACCAGCTATGATCTCAGGTAATCACTTTTTCCCCCTCTGTCCTTTCGTAGCTGCGTCGCTTAGATATCAGGCAAACCACTAACACAACTTCCATGTGAAACACACTCTCTAGGCTTGACCAATCATGCATATTCATGCCCGAGGCACGGAATTCAGCGACGGCTCCTTCGATAACCGGGTCGTTCAACGTTGCTTTTCCCCCAGGTGTGCGCATCAAGAGCATCAAAGTGAAACTGAAAGGAATGCTCCATGTGTACGTTATCTGATCGAGTCTGACTCTTTTTTTCCCTCTCAAAAGCGCAATGCTGACTGCGCTGCTTCCAGCCCTCGCGATGGCTTCATGATCGCCGAAGACCGCGTGCAAAGCACATGCGAACACAAGCAAGTACTCGCCTCGTCCAAGACGCTGGGCTCCTTTCCTATGCCAGAAGGACAGCATGAGTTCCCCTTTGACATCCCGCTACCGCGCAAGTTCCTCGAGACGGTGACGGGTGTCAAGCACAATTACCACTCGTACAAGGTCGAGGCGACGGTGGCGTTCCGATACAGGAGAAATCTCGTGGTCTCGAAACCCATCCGGATCTACCACGATTCAGACCTGGAGGCGAACTACCTGACGTCGGACTTTTCGCCGGTATGTGACTGCAGCTCGTCGCTGTGATGTGAAACCCTCAGGCTGACACCCTGTGAAGACAGTAGGAGGAAGCTTCGACCAGAAACTGCAGTACTCGGTCTCGATGCCCAGCCATTACATCCCCTTCGGCTCCCGGTTCCCCGTTGACTGCCAATTCACAGCCGTGTCCAAGGATGTCAAACTTCTCGCCATCACCGTCAAGGTCGCTGAAAAGCACTTCATCCGCCTGGACGCCACGGCGGCACAGTCGGCGCGCGACAACATCTACTCGATCACATCCCTGAAGAACCACACCATCTTCACGGAGCGATTCGAAGTCACGGGGGGGCACGCCGATGACTCCCAAAGCGACTCTGCCGCGGCGACAGAATGGTGCATCAGCAAGCTGGCTTGCCTGCCCCCGAGCTTCGATTCCTGCTCGCAGACGACCGCGACGAAGCGCATCAAGATCAGCCATCGATTGGTGGTTAGCGCCGAGTTCCAGGATGCCACCGGGAAGGTCTTTACTGAGGTATGTTTGCCGGGTGCATGTCAAGGTCGGACGAAAGACTGACGCTCACACTGTCGCAGACGGCCAAATCCATCCCGTTCTGCATCTACATGACCCCCTCGGTGATCGGACAGGATGGATCCATCTGCAACAAGACGATCCATGACATTCGAGAGCCGCCGCCGCTGTACGGGGACCATATCCTGCATCCGAAGCTGCTGGGGTCGACGGGGGATGGGGATGGGGCAACATGTGCACATACGGATCTTGTGCCTCCTTGGAATGACTGTCATGACCTGAACGCTTTGGGGCCTGCGCCTTGCTATGATACACTGGAGCACCCGGCACCTGCCTATATTGCTTAATATAATACCAGGATCTGTGTTATGATCTGATGATGATGATGTTTATCTTGCTTGCAAGTTGCAAGTAGCATAAAATGAGAGTCAGTCTTGAAATGGTGAAACTATATAATTGGATACCGGTCTTAGCTTCGTGAGAATACAGGGTGTAAAATTAGAGGATCGGCAATTCACCAAAGTGAACTCCTTGAACAGCTCTGTCTGAATAACCTGCCCCTACAGAATAAAAATCCTCATCAATATTCACCATCAACCTGCATGAAAAGCTCTATAGTACCTCATCATCATCCCAAAGTACAGTACGGAGAAAAAGCCCAGCGCACGGACCACACAATCCCAAGGGCAGCGGCGGCGGTCGGCGGTGCGGCGACCGGCGCAGCGACCGAAGAGTCTTTTGAGTTTTGCCAAACCAGACGGTGGTTTCCCGCTCCGCCCAAAAAATTATCCTGCCATCACTTTCTTGCAACTTCGGTGAAATCAAAACCCACCACAACTACCACTGCCAGCACGAAAACTACTTCTTTCCTCCTTTATTGGTTCTCCATCACCTATTCCTCTAACTACAGATTCTGACCCCCAAAAGATACGCACAATGCCCGACAAGAAGAAAAGCAAAAAGTCCTCCTCCGGCGGCGGCGCCGGCGGAGATGCCCCGGTTATCAGTATGCTTTGCCCTTCACCTTTGCGTTTCGTTTCGTTTCGTTTTTGATTGCGGCTGTGTGGAATCACTCCAGCTGAGCATCTACGGCAATCATGTACTGAATGCTAATCGACGCCTGTGTGTTTGATGTCCAGCCGACCCCCGCTTCGCCAACATCCAGAACGACCCGCGGTACCGCCTCCCCAGCAAACGGCACACGCACGTGAAGCTCGACAAGCGGTTTGCGCACATGCTGCGCGACAAGGACTTCTCGCGCAACGCGGCGGTGGATCGGTACGGGCGGAAATTGGCCCGGGATGATACGAAGAAGCAGCTGGAGCGGTTCTATCGGTTGGAGGATGACGAAGATGATGCCAGTGAAGGGGAAGAGGTGGAGGGCAGTGTGGCGGATGATGAGGAGGTGTTGGCGGAGTTGCGGCGGGCGGAGAAGTATGATCCCGCTCGCGATGGGGGGTTCGAGTCTTCGTCTTCGGAGGAGGAGAGTTCGGATGATGAGGATGATACCGAAGATGAGGGTGAGGGTGAGGGTGATGGTGAACAGCTTGGGGGTGAGGAGTTGGAGTTCCCGGATAAGCAGCAGCGCGATGTCCCGACTGGGGAGGTCACGGACCGCATTGCGGTGGTTAATCTTGATTGGGACAATATCCGCGCCGAGGATTTGATGGCTGTGTTTTCGAGCTTCGTGCCTGCTGGTGGTCGCGTGTTGAAGGTCTCGGTCTATCCGAGTGAATTTGGCAAGGAGCGCATGGAGCGCGAGGAGATGGAGGGGCCCCCCAAGGAGATTTTTGCGAGTTCGAAGAAGGGGGGGATGGTGATGATGATGGCGAAGATTTTGAGGGGTTCGATGATGACGAGGAGGAGGAGTTGGATTCGGATGAGGAGGAGGAGAAGATCAAGAAGTCCATGCTCAAGGAGGATAAGGGCGAGGAGTTCAACTCCACCAAGCTCCGCAAGTACCAGCTCGAGCGTCTACGCTACTTCTACGCTATCTTGACCTTCTCCTCCAAGGAGGTCGCCAAGCATGTCTACGACCTCGTCGATGGCGCCGAGTATCTGTCTAGTGCCAACTTCTTCGACCTCCGCTTCGTGCCGGACGAGACCGACTTCGACGACGACAGACCCCGCGACGAGTGCAAGCGCATCCCCGACGGTTACCAGCCCAACGAGTTCGTCACCGACGCCCTGCAGCACAGTAAGGTCAAGTTGACCTGGGATATGGAGGACAAGTCGCGCAAGGAGGCCCAGGCCCGCGCCTTCCGTGGCAGCCGCAAGGATATCGATGAGAACGATCTGAAGGCCTATCTCGCGAGCGACAGCTCGGATGATGAGGAGGAGGACGGCGGAGTGGAAGTCATGGATGCTACGCAGGGCGAGGGGTCGAGCACAAACATCTCCAAGAAGGAGGAAGAGAGACAGCGCATGCGCGCGCTGTTAGGGCTGAGTGCCGAGCCTACTAAATCCTCCAAGTCCGACGGACCCGTGGGTGAGATGGAAGTGACTTTCACCTCCGGACTTGCGGGCGAGCCCACCCGCGACAGCATCTTTGAGAACGAACCTCAGATTGAGGAGACTACGATCGAGCGGTACATTCGCAAGGAACGCGAGAGAAAGAAGCGCAGAAAGGAGAAGCTCAAGGCTACCAAGCAGGGCGGCGATGGCGACGCGAGTGATGTGGAGCAGAACGATGCCAAGCCGACCGCCGAGGAACAGCCCCCGCAGGAAGACCTGGGCTTCGATGACCCCTTCTTCGAAGACCCTGATGGAAAGGCTACCGCCGCTGCTCGTCGCAAGGAGGAGAAGCGCAAGAAGCGGGAAGAGCGTGCGGCCGCGGAGGCCGCCGCCGCGGCTAAGCGCGCTGAGCTGGAGCTGCTCATGGTTGACGACAACAACAACAAGGGTATCAAGCACTTTGATATGACTGAGATCGAGAAGGCCGAGAAGCAGGCTCGTAAGAAGGGCAAGAAGGGCAAGGGCAAGGCTAAGCAGGTGGAGCCCGTGGTGGATGACTTCAAGATGGAGGTCAACGATCCTCGTTTCTCCCGACTCTTTGAGAGCCACGAGTTCGCCATCGATCCTACCAACCCCAAGTTCAAGCCCACTTCCGGTATGAAGGCGCTGCTGGAGGAGGGTCGCAAGCGTCGCCGCGATCGGGACGACCACGCGGAGGAGGCGCCCAGCAACCAGGATCGGACAAAGAAGCAGAAGAAGCAGGCTTCGAAAGACGCGGGGTCGGATGATCTGAAGAAGCTGGTGGACAAGGTGAAGCGTAAGACGCAGCGCTGATTTGCTTGTTGAAAAGTATTCGTGTACTCCGGACTCTGTTGCTTTTCTCCGGTCATCATTGGATTGAGGGGTCAAAATATACCATGGATGGTTTAGCAGGTTGATTATTATTTTTCTTGTTATTATTTTTATTTGCTGGCAGTCACGATAATCCAAGGACCAATTATGTTGGTGTAACTCTTTCTACATTGCCTGTTTGATAATCCTTTTTCTGACAGTTGGCCAGGAAGAATGCCCTGGAGGTGATAAGCAGGCGCGGGCGATGTTGCTGGCTGCAAGCAAGTGCTGTAAGTTGCCGTCATCACGGAGGGAATGGAGGAATCAGAGGTGTTGGACCGCCATGTCGGAGCCCAAGGAGACCAGGAGATGACTGGTACTATGGGTAAGAATGGGTAAGATTGGCCGATGTACGATGAGGTGGTTTGTGTGACCTTTTTTGGCCGTCTGCAGGGCAGCCAGAGAGGATTGACAGGGAGAGAAAAGGAGTAGAAGATGCAGTCCCGATAGACCGCGATCTGCGATGAGGCTGAGATCATGTGTTCATTCCTTCCTTTTTTTTTTACCCCGTCTTGTTCGCCCCGTGTTATTGTTGTGGTTATGGTTGTGGTTGTGGTGGTTCCTTCACCGCCCTTTCCGTTTCTACTCATACACTTCGAATGAATCCTCCGTCTCTCTTTCTCTCCCGCGGGCGGCATCGGGACGGGAGAGTGGGAGAGTGGGAGTGGAAAGTAGTGCCTAAAGTAGATTAACTACCGCTAGTCCTCAGTAACTCGACGCCCGGAGTAGTACCGGTAGTGGTCTAGTAGGTAGTACTAATAGTAACTCATAGCACTAACTTATAGTAGATAGTGAAGACCACACGCACCACTTACTGTTCCCTTCCACGGCACTTCTTCCTCCACCCTCCACCTTCCACCTCCACCACCACCTCCACCACCACCACCACCACCACTACCACCACTTACTTTCTAACTACTTTACCTCTTCTTACCTCCCCTCTTTCTCCCTTCCTCGTTCCATTCCCTTCTACTTTACCTCCCCCCTCCTTCTTTCTTCTTCCTCCCCCTCCTCCTCTCATCCCTCAATTCCAATTCCTCTTTCTGGTCGGTTTGATCGGGATTTGTCCTGTTCCGGTCTTCACCGCCACCCACTGACTCTCAATTGCTGAGAACGGATCCCACCTTAAACCACTTCCCCCCCCCCACCCACTACCCTTCTCAAGACGACCGATACAAGCGACGCGTGTTTCTCTCGACCTCCCTCAGAAACACACACTTTATCCCATTTACGGCCTGATCATGGTCGTTCTCTCGCGAAATTGAATCATGGGGAACTGCAGCTCAGTCTAGTTGATCGGTCTGACTGTTGGTTTCCTGCTTGTTTTATCGGCGCATTTTATTTGAACGCTTCGGCGTAATCGACTTTGCGATTTCTTCCCCGCTCTTTTACCTACTCTGCAGTTCCGTTTCGAGCCATTGTTATCATCATGCTCGGTCGACTATTGAATACTGCAGCGGCCACTCTCAATCCGACGGCATACTCCGCGAAGAACCCACAGCCACTGGAATCGGTCACAGAGGAGGAACATACATCGGGCTTGCTTTATCCTGACGTTAGCCTTCTTCGCCGATCCAACTCGCACGCGTACCCCCTTCATACCGCTTTCAATTCCCCGAATACCTCGACGGCCGGTGGATATGATGATCGTGGTGGCGGCGTCGAATTGGACCACCTGAAGGATTTCCGTGTGATAATCGCCCAGAACGCGCTGGGAGACCGGGATGCCTGCGTGTTGCTGGATACCCGGGCCACTCCGCAGGGACAAGGCTCACATGGTCTGGGCTTGGAGCCACAGGTGTTTGAAAATACTGGTACCCGCCATGCCCGCACGCTCTCCACGTTGACTCGCGGCCCGCGGCGGGGTTATCTGCCTCAGTCATCGGTTGTGGAATCAAGCCCGCTGTCTGCGGCCGCAGAGACACGGCGATCCCCGCCCATGTCTTCTGGCGCGTTCATGAGGGCACGGGTTCGTAGCTCTACGCTGGCGCCAGGTGGGAACTTCACCGAAAGTGGCCATTCCCGGGGCACGACGGATGCGAATGACTCCGGGTTGCTGAACTGCATCTTCGGGAGCAGTGCCTTCAGCTACAAGGGTTCCTCCACCAAGATGCATATCATTTCCGCCGATGATGAACCGAGTCAAACCTCGCCAGCCTCTCCGGCAGCACGTAGCTCTCTATCACGAGCATATACTACAGGAAGTTCCACGACGTTTGGCGGCTCCGATCGGGGTAATGAGTCTAAACCACCTGCCAAGGTTACTATCCTGTTGACAAGGATGTTCAGTGTGCATCTGCCCGAAGGCGGAGATGATGACTCTCCTCCGGATAGGCCTGACTTGTCATCTTCAGTCTCCCACGACGCTCTCCCGAGCCCAGGGTTTCCCTTCCCGGACGTCTCGAAGCGCAAGAAGATCAAGGAGAAGAAAACCCCCATGTATGCGGTCGCTATCACAATCCAGATCCCGCTCTTATCCCGAAATGGTGGGCGGCCGGTCTCTCGGTTTGCGCAAGGTCCAGGCTCTCCCAAGCCAGGGCTCTCGTGCTCCTTGGACTCGGACTATCGTTGGCGTGGAGGCTTCTTCGAGGACAGTCTGTCGCTTGCATCTCCTCCTGCGAGTTTGGATGAGCGTATCGATCTGTTGGTTGATCATTGGGATATCATCAACCGGACGTTGTCCCATTTGGAGAGGCTGTCTCGGAACGAGATCCTCTTCTTACTCAAGAAAGTAGACGCCTCGGCAGGGCCGCATCCGAAGCCGGCCAAGCCTCCGAATATGCAGAGGACCAATCAGACTTTTGTTCATCTGCCGGTCAATGTTTTGTCCATCAATTCCAAACTTCGCGACGAAGCCATCCGCAGCACTCGTCGCATTAGCACGGCTCTGCAGATGCCTTACGTTGTCACAGGCCAGAGCCGCTGGGGCGTCTGGCGTGAAGAAGGGCGGTCGATAATCCGTAGTCTCGGAGACAAAGACCACAGTTTCTTCTTCCTGGTCTTGGTCACTGCCTTTTTGGGGAACCATACGGAGTGGCTCAATGCCGTGGGCCCGGAGTGGTACCGTCGGCGGCACTATCTGCAACAGAAGGCTCAGCAAGACGCTGATCCGATACTGGCTAATCGCACCGTGATCATCTCGCCGGATAAGATGACTGCCAGAAGACTTATTTTCTTACTGGCGGCGTTCTTGCCGCCCAAGCAGCGCTTCGAGCCCCTGCCGTCTCCGATTCGTCCTGGCACTGCGGCGTCGACTCGTGCTGTCTCCCAGAGCCCGCCTAATGTTCCTATCTTACGACAGGAGGCGTTGCGGAGAGTGATGGAACGACGGTCTCGTGCGCAGCGCCTCAACCTTAATGAAAGAGAGCAGCACCAGCGTTCTGTGAGTGCTTCATCCAATGAGACGGCCCATCGTTCAGCGGAAGAACCCGAGCCGATGATTCCGCCTGATTTTGGTGCGAAGCGCAGGGGCTCAGATGCTCGCTCGATCCGAGCCTTAGGGGTTCCTATCCATACTAGAGACATGCGTCCGCGGAATACGAGTGCAGCCACCACTTCGACCACTACTCCGAGTAGTACCGTTCCCGTCCCGCACTTCGCCTCGCAGAGCCGGTCGGAGCGGATGGGGTCGGATCCAAGTGTGACCGAAGGACGTGACAGCCTGGCGTCAGAAACTCTTCTAAAGAATCTGCGGCGGTCCGAAACCTCGGCAACCTGTGCCAATGGCCAGATTCCTCCCGCGAGTGGTCGCTGGGGTACATTATTCTCTGGCTTGTGGAGCTCTCGCCAGGAGTCATCAGACGCTGGTGACGCCCCTGCGCCATCTGAAGCGCGCAAGCGATCGGTGTCTGCTTATACGAACCCACCCAGACGGAACCCTCCGACACTTGCCCAGATGGTCAAAGAAGCAGCGGAGGAACCCATGGCGGCGGCACCCAAAGCTAATACGAGCGGCAATATCTCTATCCCTCCGGCGACAAACAGTCATATCTCATTCGAGGAGGACGCACCGGATTTGTCGTCGACCACGGACCAGACCAGGGAGTCATCCTTGAGGATGGCTGTTCGTGGAGATGACGGCGTGGTGGATGTGGACCTGCCGCTCCCAGGGTTCCTGTCGCTTTCGTCGTCTGGGGACTCCACGCTGGCTTCTCCCAAGAAGACCCGCACCTCGGTTACTAGTATGGATGCAATGGCATCTACACAGAGCAGTGTCTCCGGGTTCCACGGCAGTCTCAAGGACAATGATGGACCCAACACCAACGTCGCTGGCTGGCTGCGAACTTTCCATGACGATTTCCTCCTGCAGGCTGTGAGACCCTACGCTTCGCTGGAAGCCGATATCAAGCGCGCCATGCAAGCCGAGCCTACACCAAGTCAAGCTCTGTGTCTCAACGCCGATGGTTCCGAACGATGGGTGGATGTTGCGACCACCGTGATTGCGGATGTCCGGAATTTCACAGTGAAGCGACTGCGACTGAGGCGTAAATTGGTGGGACATGGGTCGTCGCGCAAGGCGTATACGTCGTCTTTCCCCTCGCAGCCCGGCACTCCGCGGTACGTGTCCAACGGGTCTGTCTCGGCCTCGCAGCTCACCAGCTTCTTCTCGCACGCCACTGGGTCGAGCAAGACATCCAACAATTCCTCCATGGACGATTTCTATCCTACCGAGGTTGAAGAACGGTTCGTGGAAGAGCCCGTGATGGATCTGGATGGCACTCTTGTCGATGCTCTTGAAAGGGTGCTTGCACAGAGTGGACCGTCGTCCATGGTGCATTCGCGCGCGCCGTCGCCATCCCGTGGTCGTCGCGGGGAGGATAAGCAGGCATCGGATGCCCCAGCGCCCACGCGGGAAGAAATCCGACCTGTCGAGGTGCCTCGGACTGAGTGTCGCAAGCTGGTTCTCGGGGCGCTGGAAGAGGTGGTGCGCAGTGTGACCGCGGAGCATTGCCGCGAGGATGTGGACGGGGAGCTCGGCCTAGCAGATCGCGAGCGCAAGCGTACGTTGGCCGGGGCGGATAATACGCTGCGCGAGGGAGTTCGCAAGTGGCTTCTCGATGTTGAGGAGGCGTGGTAGGGTTCATTTTCTGAGTGGATTCTCTGTTCTGATGCTTTTGTGTTAACATGATACCCATGTTGAGTATTTTTCTGCACTCGACCCAGCGTTGAGCATACATACATACCGTACAACATCATACATACATACATACATACATACATACATATATGATATGACGGCCGTGAATGAAAGATGCTCGTGAAGTATTGTGCGCATGTAATTTCAAATTGATTAATGGATCAGCCCATCGGCGACCTTTTTCTTCTGGCGGGCTAAGCGATTGGTGGACAAATCCAATAAGGATAAATCCAGGGTCCATCCAGCATTTAGCCAATTTGACTGCGCGGGTTTTACCCCTCTTCCAATCACCCCTCTCTCTGTTCTCTCGGTCTTCCGGCCCGTGAAATGCATTGACATCTATTCATCCGGCGCAATCCTGGTCTGCCTGTCAGTGCTTGCACTGTGGGGGCGGGGTGAGGTGTTGACAATTGCTCCAGTTCATACTTAAGACGCACTGCACTACCCAGGGACCGAGGGTCTCTCCTCCTCCCCTTCCCTCAGGGTCTAGCTAGCATTGCTCCCCCCCCCCCCCCAAAGTTCAAACCCTTTAGGCATCATCAATTGACACACCGTATCCATCACCATGAAGTTCACCGAGGGAATGTGGCGCATCCGGGTGAGTTTTCCGTGTCCAAGACCGAGCTGATCAAGAACTAACCCGCGCGCTTATGTTGGGAATGACAGGAGGGGATCCGGATCGACTGGATGAACAACGTCGAGCGACTGAGCATCGAGAACGAGACGGTGGATCTGCTCCTGAACAAGTTCCAGCGGCACCGTGGTGATACTTTAAACTCTGGTGAGTTTCATTTCGTCTTTATCCAGCTGCAAAGTAGAAGAGGGCTTGGACTGACGTGATACGGTATAGCTACGGTCTCGGCGCAGGTCACGTCGCCATTGGAAGGGATTATCGGCGTGAAGCTTGTCCATTGGTCCGTACCCTGTTCCTCTCTTCAAATCTCCGTCCCAAAGCACCTTCTACATACAATATCAGTATATGTGGTTGTCATTCCGAACCCTCATACTAAATAAGTCCAACAGGGCCGGCGGCATCGGCAAAGGCCCGCACTACGAACTCACCACATCCACCGGCCACACCCAGATCTCGCACGAGGAGAACCAAGCGCTCCACTACCGCAGCGGCGGGCTCGACCTGGCCGTGACGACCGCGCCCAACGAACTCGACTTCGTCTTTTCCGCTTGCAGCAACAGCAACAACAACAACAACAACAACAGGAAGCTGACGGGCCACTCCTGGCGCTCCATCGGGTACATCGGCGACCAGACCACCGAGAAGTCCCGGTGGGACGACGGCATCTTCTTCGAGCGCCAAGGGTACATGCTGGCGGCGCTGGACCTGGGCGTGGGCGAGAAGCTGTACGGGCTGGGCGAGCGGTTCGGCCCGTTTGTGAAGAACGGGCAGACGGTCGACATCTGGAACGAGGACGGCGGCACCTCCTCCGAGCTGGCGTACAAGAACATCCCTTTCTATTTGAGCAGTGCGGGCTACGGGGTGTTTGTCAATCATCCGGGGAAGGTGAGCTTGGAGCTGCAGTCGGAGCGCACCACCCGCGTGAATATCTCGGTGCCCGGCGAGGAGCTGGAGTACTTTGTGATTTATGGGGATTCGCCGAAGGCGATTTTGGAAAGGTATACGGCGTTGACGGGGAGGCCGAGCTTGGTGCCGGCTTGGAGTTATAATCTTTGGTTGACGACTAGTATGTTCCCTCTGGATCTCACCCTGGTATAGTTGTTGGTGACTGGCTTTGTGAGATGCCAATGCTGATGTTTTTGTGTGCTGTGGCGCAGGCTTCACGACCAACTACGATGAACAAACCGTCACCGGCTTCCTGGATGGGTTTCGGGACCGCGAGATCCCGCTGGGAGTCTTCCACTTCGACTGCTTCTGGATGAAGTCCTACCAGTGGTGCGACTTCGAGTTCGACTCGGCCATGTTCCCGGACGCCGCGGGTTATATCAAGCGGTTGAAGGAACGGGGGCTGCGGATTAGTGTCTGGCTCAACCCGTACGTGGGACAGGCGTCGCCGTTATTCAAAGAGGGTAAAGAGAAAGGATACTTCATCAAGGTAAGCCGCCCCCCTGCTTACCTCCCCCTCAGCCCCCTCACTAACACCCCCCGCCCCAGCGAACCGACGGCACAGTCTGGCAATGGGACTACTGGCAAGCGGGCATGGCGATCGTGGACTTCACGAACCCGGCCGCGCGCACCTGGTTCCAGCACCACCTGCGCCGCCTTTTAGACCTCGGGGTAGACAGCTTCAAGACCGACTTCGGCGAACGCATCCCCTACCGCAACGTCACCTACTTCGACGAGACCATCGACCCCACCCGCATGCACAACTACTACACCCTCACCTTCAACGAACTCTGCTACACGACCCTCCTCCACCACCACCCAGACAACATCGACCCCACCACGCACGAAACCACAAACAAGTCCGGAGCCGTCCTCTTCGCCCGCTCCACCGCCGCGGGCGGCCAGAAATTCCCCATCCACTGGGGCGGCGACTGCGAAAGCACCTACGAAGCGATGGCCGAGTCCCTGCGCGGCTGTTTGTCCCTGAGTCTCAGCGGCTTCATCTTCTGGGCCTCCGACATAGGCGGCTTCGAAGGCACCCCGCCGCCGGACGTGTACAAGCGGTGGGTGCAGTTCGGCCTACTGTCCACACACTCCCGGCTGCACGGGAGCCACTCGTTCCGCGTGCCGTGGATCTACGGCGAGGATTGCTCGGTCGTACTGAGGGACTGCGTGAAACGGAAGATCGCGCTCACGCCGTATCTTCTGCGGAGTGCATTGGAGGGTGGGCGGCGCGGGACGCCGGTTATGCGGCCCCTCCTGCTGGAGTTTCCGCACGATAAGAATGCTTGGAGTGTGGATACGGTGTATATGCTGGGCGGGGATTTGCTTGTCGCGCCGGTGTTTAGTAAGGAGGGGGTGGTGGAGTTTTATGTCCCTGACACTAAGGAAGGGGGGGAGTGGGTGAGCTGGTTTGATCATTCCAGAAAATATCAGGGCGGCAGGTGGTATACTGAGACGCATGGGTTCGAGACCCTGCCGTTGTTGATTAGGCCGGGGGCTGTCGTGCCGGTGAATTTTCAGCTGACGAAGCCGGAGGATGAGCCGTTGAGTGGGTTGGAGGTGTTGGTTAATGGCGATATTCCAGGGGTGGTGGAGGTGGAGGTTGTGGATCCGGTGAGAGCGCATGAGGTGCGAAAGGTTGTGAGGGTGAGGAAGGAGGAGGGCGGGGTGGTGAAGGCTGATGTCGAGGGGGTCAAGGTTACGGTTATTCAGTAAGGGGGGCTGTGTGTGTTGTGTGGGTTTGGGGAGGGTGTGGTAGATTGGCTGTGTTTGAATTGTGGTTGTTGGGCTGTTTCATGGTGCAGTGGTGGACAAGGGATGCAGTGAGATGCTGAGATGTATCTATAACTGCGAGTTGGGTGTTGAGAGGCCCTGAGGCAACCAAGATAAGTTGGATACTCAAACAATTGTTCATTAGGTTGTATTACATGGCTAAAGGGGTATCCTTCCACGACCACTACACATACACATACACAATTGACTCATCGACAATCATCCCACGGTCTTCTTCATAAGCAAACCCCCCCCACAAACCTCTTGACTTCTTCCTCGAATCGAATCACATCAACGGCCTCAAACTCCCACTCCGCGGACTCCCCCGTACAAGATTACTCCCCTCGTCCCGCGAGCGCGCCCGCGCCTCCGTCGACGGGTTCATCAGCACCGCACTGGAATGGATCCGCTGCGGCAACGCCGGCAGCAGCGCATGCTGCGGATGGCCCACGACACTGTCCGGCAGCTCCAGCGAAGGGATATCCGTCATCTTGGTCGGCGGGTTCGAGGGCGTGACGCGCGTCGAGACCGGGCGCGCGTGCGACTCCTTATAGAACTGCTGCAGACGGATCGGATCGTTACAGAAATCCACGATTCCGTTCAGGATGTGCTCGGGCGCGCGGTAGAGGTTAGAGGAGTCGATGCTGGGGTGTTGGCCGGGCGGGGCGACGAGGGGGAGGTTGGCACTGTCTTTGGGATTACTTGTAGTGCTGGAATTTATGGTGGTGCTGCCGCCGCCGCCACCGGTGTTGATGCTGCCACTACCACCGGTGAGATCATGGATTGGGCGGACCATGGGCGAGAGACGTGGGGAGGAGGTCGAGGAGACGCGGTCCGCAGCAACCGGGTCGTACGTGCCGGCGCGCGCCCGGTACTGCTCCGCGCGCTCCATGCGCTCCAGGCGCGGCATGTCGCGGCTCGCGGTGCTGCGCGTGCTCACCAGCCGATTGGCCAGGAACAGGAACTCGCCCTCGTCGGTAATCTGGGCCAGCAGACTGCCCGAGCGATGGATGAACTGCGGGTAGCGGTAGTCCGGGATGCCCCAGGAGTAGGACACCTCGACGTCGGCGGGGAACGCCGCCCGGGCCTCGAAGTCGAGGACAAAGTCGAACTTGCGCAGCAGGGCCTTCTGGAAGTAGAGGGGATCCGGATTGAGGCTTTGGGCCGAGACGGACGCCGTGGGGTTGGGGTTGTAGGGCACCGGGACCGGCCCGCGCGGCGGCGGCACCTTAAGTTGCACGCGGAAGGGCTTGCGGAAGGGCTGCGTCTGGTCGATCGCAGACGCCTCGGCGATGGGCACCTGCACGAGTTTCAGGCCGAACTTCTCCGCGGTCGCCGCCCACGACAGCACCGTGTCTTCGATCAGTTTGGCCGTCGTGCCCATCCAGCTGAGTTCGATGTGAAAGCAGTTGTCCGGGTTGTGTAGACGGTCGTAGTGAAGATCGATGACCTCGGGGCGGTTCGATCGTCGACGCGGGTCCACGTCGTACTGCATCTTCTTCGACAGCATGATCGTAGCTTTATTCTTGGCTCTGGAAGGCGTGTTGGGCACCTGAGGCATGGAGTCATCCACACTCTCGGACCGGGACTCGGATCGAGACTCGGATCGGGACTCCGCGCGAGAATGATTGCTCGAGTGATCGGCAGCAGGAGTCAAGGGGGTCGCCTTATCCGGCCGCATCTGGGGGAACCAACCGCCTCGAGACTCCGGGCGATGCGGCCGATATTCGCTCGAGAGCTGGTAGAAATAGTTCCCGTCGCGGAAATTGTGTCTCCGTT